CTCACAGCAACCTCAAACTCAAACCTCAACCTCAAACTAATATTATTATATGTGGAGCATTTTACCATGACATTGAATATACTTCGAGAAAATGATTTTGAATAGCCACATAATGTCATTGCATAGAGAAACATCATGGTTTGTTTAGTCACTGCCTTATTTTCAGTCATTTGGGTTGGACAGTGGCTATGAAAACGCATGTCTCAGGTCTCCCACTTTGGGCAGTGTACTCGACCGAGGGCCCCAGCCAGCTGTTGTGCTCTGAAGTCCATCTCGTCCCAGCTTGTGACAGTGCGGCAGGGACACCCAGGCTGGGAGACAGGCTCCTCTTCCAAGTGATTGTGACTTGAGGATTTCCCCACGGCCCTCCGGAGCTGTCTTAGGAGAGTGCCACAGGGCAAGACATTGTCCCCAGCCTTCCCTCTTTCCTTCTGCAAGGGTGGGACCTCCCTTGCTCAGACGGCTCCCCCAGCTCCTCGCCCCTCCCCCACTCCCACCCGGGCTTTGCCGATGATGAATCTCTGGCCCAGGCCTGGACTAACACAGGCAGTTTCCAATTTTGTTTGCATGTCTGGTTTTTTTTTTTTTGGAGACAGAATCTCGCTTTGTTGCCCAGGCTACAGTGAGTGCCGTGGCGTCAGCCTAGCTCACAGCAACCTCAAACTCCTGGGCTCAAGCAATCCTGCTGCCTCAGCCTCCCAAGTAGCTGGGACTTGGCTAATTTTTTTCTACATATATTAGTTGGCCAATTAATTTTATTTCTGTTTATAGTAGAGACGGGGTCTCGCTCTTGCTCAGGCTGGTTTCGAACTCCTGACCTCAAGCAATCCGCCCGCCTCGGCCTCCCAGAGTGCTGGGATTACAGGCGTGAGCCACCGCGCCCGGCCACATGTCTGGTTTTGATGTCACCCTTAACACTGTTATGAACATGCAAGTGTGTGTGTCTTGTCCAAATCTGTGACTGTCTCCTTAGGAAATTGTGTTAGGGCAGAGTACCAGGAGGGGGTTACTGAGTGAGGGATACACACTCCTTTTGTAAGACTCGGATATGCATGTCCGGAAGTGGCTGCATGGGGCTCTCTCATCATCGGGCCTTAAGCTGTGACGCCTCTGCTGATGTGACAGGCATGACAGGACCTCCTGGCGGTTTGCCTTTCTTGGTTACTGGTGAGGTTAGGCAGTTCCACGTTCACTGGCTACGTGACTTGTTTTACATTCAAGCTTTGCTTTTTCTTCCCTCCTTTTCCCTCCCCTTGCTTTTGTTTTCTGACTACCTCTTCTATTTTCTTTTCATTTGTTTCCGAATCTCCAGAATAAGGAAATGATACTGCTCAAACTTTTGTTCTTACAGCTATTCCCTGTCCTGCCTTGATAAATTGGGCACATTTAAGCTTTTACTCAGTCTTAATCCCTCCTGAAATAAAGAAGTCATGTTATCATCCTACTTTTGGCTTCTCCGTGAGCCTTGATTGTTTGTTTCATTGTTTTCCTTTCCTCTGTGAGTTAGTGGAACTTGATTTTTAAAACTCATTATTTTGGACTGTTCATATCACGAGATGTGCCCTGGGAATTGTTTGGTGTCTTTTTGTCTCTTTCTAAGGTTTTGGCAGATTAACCCCAAAAGAAATTCTAGTTGTTTGAGAGTTTTGATGAGTCAGGTTGCAGATGGCTGAGGATTTATCACACTTACTGCCTGTGGTTGGCTCTGTCTTGTGTTGCCGCTTTCAGGAAAAGCAAATATGAATTAGATTTTTTTTCTCTTGCATAATGCTGTGGTAGGTGATCTTGATTTAGAGGTGAATTTCTGCCGCTAATCTCCCTTCTAAATTGTTCTTTTTTTTTTTTCATAATTTTGAACTTAAAGTCATATAAATTTTAATAATTTTCTTCTTCTTTGTTTTTATCTTTTCAAAATATTAATGGGGTACAAATGTTTCTAAATTGTTCTTGTGCATCAGGCCGTAACAGCTCGTGTGGCAAGTAGTGATCCCAGCAACAAGGGATGGTGCATTGATACTTGGATGAACCTTGAAAACCATCCATAGAGAAAGAAACCAGCCACACAAGGCCACCTACTGTATCATTCCCTTTATGTGAAATGGCCAGAAAGGGCAAACCCACAGAGCTGGGGAACAGCTTAGTGGTTCCTGGGGCCGAGGGTCGGGAGGACCGGGGAGTGCCAGTTCATGGGCACAGGGTTTCTTACGGGATGATGTTATCATAATAAAAATGTCCTGGAGTCAGGTGGTGGTGATGGTGGCACAACTGTGAATGTACTAAAGAAAAAAAACATCAAATTGTACACTTTAAACAGAGGAACTGTATGGTATGTAAATTGTATGCCAAAAAATGCTGTTAAGAAATACTGATTCCAGGCCCCAGCCCAGCCCTACTAAATCAGAATCTCTGGGTGTAACATCCAGGAATCTGTATTTTACCCAAACACCCCCACAGAACTGTGTACTTTGTTCAAGTATCACTGAGAATTTCAAGACGGTGGTGACAGCAGAGCATTAACACAAGCCCAGGGCCCGTCTGAGCTCAGGGCTTTGTGACTTGCACGAGTCCCAGGCCCATGAAGCTGGCCCCGCACCCCACAGTACGGTCTGGGGTGCTCCCCGCACATCATGGAAGGAGAATTGGGTTAGCAGGTTTGCATCTCCGCTGGAGAAGCTGTAGATGGAAGGGCTGGAAGCAGGAGAGGAGAAACCTGAAACTTCAAAAGGTTTTCTCCCCCTGCCAGAGCAGTGAAGTGATTTTAGTCAGAAGAGAGCAGCGGAGTCCCCCAGCCAGCGGCTGAGTCATCTCCAGAACTGTGGGCTCTCGGTGACAAAAGGAGAAAATCTGAGGCTGCCTCCAGGCTGCGGAAGATCCTGCGCGAGCCCGTCACGCGAGCAGCAGTAGCTGACTCTGCAGAGTCGCCGGGGCCCGCTGATTGTGGGGACCCGTCCCGGTGGGGGGACCAGGCAGCCCCTGCAGTGCCACCGTCCCCGCTGCTTCATGTCACCAAGTCTGATCCTATTGCCGTGGTCACATGCCCGCGTCCCCTACGGCAGGAAGCAGGCTCTGCTGTGCTGCGAGCACAGTCTCCAGCTAGCAAAACAACCCCCACACAGGGGCACGGGCAAGGTTTTGTTTAGGTCATTATTGAGGGAATCAGCACAGGGTGACCAGTTCAAAGGAGGAACGAGAAACTAGGGTCTGTCTCTCGCCTGTCTTTCTGTCGTCAGGGAAGAAAGCGAATGCGGGAATGAAATGCTCGGTTAGATGCTCATCTGGCCAACACCCTGCAGTCAATACAGCCAGAACCTTTGGAATTGTCTTCTTTACTTGATAGAAATCTCTTGCATCTTATCCGTTCAGAGACCTTGGGACCTAGTCGATAATGCATACTATGTCAAACAGTAAGTTCCATTCTCGGAGAGCAGTGCTGTCCAACAGAACTTCCTGCGGTGATGGGGGTGTTCTGTACCCACTAACCGCTGTGCTATCGAGCACTTGAAACGTGGCTAGGAGCCGGGTGTGGTGGCGCGTGACTGTAGTCCCAGCTACTCGGGAGGCTGAGGCGGGAGGATCGTTTGAGCCCGAGAGTTCAAGGTTGCAGTGAGCTATGATCGCGTCACTGCTCTCCAGCCTGGGCAAGACCCCATCTCTTAAAAAAAAAAAAATACGGCTAGTGAGATTGAGAAAGTAAAGAAATTTTTTAAATGTTTCATTTTGAAATTTTATAGTTTTTGTTTTTATTTTGAAATGTTTTATAATTTTAGATTTATAGAAAAGTTGTAGATGGTACAGAGAGTTCCCACCCACTTTCCCCTAAGTGTTAACCTCTTATGTAACCATGGCACATTTATGAAAGCTAAGCAATTAACATTGATACAACATTGATAACTAAACTATAGGCCTAATTTGGATTTTCACCAGTTTTACCACTAATGTCTATTTTCTGGTCCAAGATCTGATCCTGGTACCCGCATTGCATTTAGTTCTTGCATCTCCTTAGGCTCTGGTCTGTGACAGCTTCTCAGCCTTGCCTTTATTTTCATGACCCTGACACTTTGGAAGAGTGCTGGGCAGGAGATTTTGTAAAATGACCCTGGGTGTGGGCCTGGCAGGTGTTTTCTCTGGATGAGCCTGGGACGGGGGGTTTGGGGGAGCAAGACCACAGAGGGTTGAGGGAGGTGCCCCCTAACCATGTCGCATCAAGTGGGAGAGAATGACGTGGCAGGTGATGTCCACCTGGATTGCTGGCCAGAGGTGGTGTCTGCTGTGGCCCTCCCTGTCACCTTGCGGTTTCCCTCCTGTGCTCTGCTCTTTAGAATGAGTCACCAAGTCCAGCCTCCCTTCAAAAGGAGGGGAGTTAAGCTCCACCTCCTGGAGGAAGGAATATCAAAGAATTTGTGGACGTATGTTAAAACCGCCACTGTGATTCATAAATACTTGGGGGGAGAGGCTTTGAGGCTATGCAAAGTTCCTGTTTCCCCTTCAAGTTTCACCTGCTAATTTTAGTATTTTTTTGTGGATCTCGCCTGAGGCAGTTATTACTGCGGTATTCTAATGATGATGTTCTGTTTTCCTCATTCTGCCTATGTTTATTATTTATGAATTAGAATTCTGTAAGGAACATTCGTCCTTTACCCCCATTTATTTATCTAGTCAACCATCTATTTATATCACAATGGATTCGTGGATATTTATTTTATCCTTTGAAAGGACTTGTGGTCATATTTTTTGCCTTATTTCCTAGTTTGGGATAATTTTCCTAACAGTAAAAGTGTTCTGATACAGGACAGTCAAAAAGAGAGACGGGTGTCCACCGCAGTGGGTATTTCTGCAAGGATCACCAAAACACTGTCGCTGACGACTAGGATATCTGGGGGCCGAAAAGCCTGGTGTGTCAGGGACTAGGGTAGAAATACCTGTAAGAGTAAGAATGAGAAGTCCAAGACTGATGTCTCAGAATCCTGACTGCATCCTCCCCTCCATGTGGACTTGTGCAAACCACACCTCTCTGGTCCTCAGTTTCCCCAAAGATAAGATGAAGGTGAAGGTGCTGGTCACTCAAGATCAGGGGTTCCCAGGCTGGAGAGTGCCTCAGATTCCCGGCGTGTTCATTCAGACACACGTTGCTGGCTCCACTCACAGACCGTCTGATTCAGTGGGGCTGGGGTGGAGCCCAAGGGTTTGCATTTCTGAAGCATTGCCAGGTGCCGGTCCAGAGACCACCCTTTGAGAACCATTAGTCCACATGATCCCTAAGAACCCTTAACAGCTTTGGACTCAACACTTGTTCAGATGACAAAATCTTTGGACCTGGATGGAAAGATGGTGTCATCCCCGGGGGGCCCTGAAGATCTGGTGGAGAATCATACAGGAGTCACTGAAAGATTGCCCTGTGCCACACCTGGCACCGGACGCCTCTAAGACCCAGGCCCTGCCCAGGGAGATGTGAAGGTGGAGAGGGAGGTGAAGTGCAAGCTGGAGCCTGGGTTCCACCCCTGAGCAGCTGTGTGGCCCTGAACAAGTGACTAAATGCCTGTCTGCCTCAGTTTCCCCACCCATAAAAAGAGGACAGTGACAGCACTTATTAATACATGACCTGGCATAAAGAACATGCTCAACAAGGCTGTTGCTGGGCTCGCTATGGTTACTGAGTGTGTCCAGTGGGGGAAATGGCAGTGGTGGAATCTATTTCTAGAACACAACCACCTTTCCTCCGAACAACTCCACCCAGCTTGGGTCCCCACTCGCTAATGTCAACCCCCTCACAAAACCCAAAACTGATTATGAGAAAATAGTCAACATAATTTATTAAATAGATTCCAAAGGCTCCTCCAAGTGCATTAATAACATTATAAAATTATAATAAATATCAATAAATTAACATAGCTGCCACCTCCTGCCCTCACAAGGGCATAATGAGAGTAGGTAAGGTTTAAGCCTGCAGAAGAAAAACATTCTATAAATACCAAGCCTAAGAACAATGACATAATCTTTTTCAAGTTAACTCATAAATTTCAATCTCAGCCCTCCCGGGACTGGCACATCTGAGCATTCATTATTATTTACTGGAAAAATTTACTCAATAAATCACAGCAGAGTTCTCACACTTAGCTGTCAGTCATTTTTTTTAAGGCTTCATAAGTTCCTGCCACTCCAAAAGGAAGAGGCCTTAACCAGCCCGTTGGGCTTCAGAGTTAGATGGTTTTGATGCAAGTTCCATGCACTCCGAAAACTGTGTTAAGATAGTCAAGATGAAGCGCTTATTTTCAAGGGTGCCTGCAGGCACGGAAATGTTTGTTTTTGATGCATCTTGAAATCTGAGTTTGTCGAGATGTTCTATGATTTCACCCAGAGTTACGTTATCTCTTAACTGTCTGATGGTTTGGAGATACGTCCGAATGGCTGAGATGTTGATGTGGTTTGGTGGCTGGGCGTCGGGGATGAGACACGGTAGCGTGTAACTTTGGGACATGGGCACCCCCTTTTCTTCCTTCACCTGTGGAATGAGGAGGAGAAACGGTGAGCGTGAGGTCTGCAGAGCAGCTAGGAATCCTGACAGCTGGTGCTCGAGCGCTTCCTCTGCGACTGGCCTGGTCCGTACCTTACCTAGTCGCTGCAGCCACCCTACGACACTGTGGCTGTCGTTAGCTTTCTTTCCAGAAGAAACCGGAGCTCACTTGGTTTATGAAGCTGGCCCAAGGTCAAGGGGCAGACCCGGACCCAGTCCAGGTGTGGCGCAGTTCTGAAGCCCACGCTGATGACCCCTGCTCCGTCCTGCTACCTCTGCCCCTCAAGCTGAGGCCTCCACAGCCTTCCAGAATCTGTTCGTAGGTGCTCACGGGCTCAGGGAGGAGGGGAGTCGGAGCGCTTCCGCTAGGTTCTGCTAACCTAGGTTAGCTAGGTTCTGCTAACCTCTGCTCTGCCCCCTGCACGAGTGCGTCCTTACCCTCATAAAAATGCCATCTTGGCCTGTCTGGCTGTCCCCTGTCCCTGCATACCCACAGCCCTAGCTTCAGGTCTGGAAAGAGAAGCTACTTCTGGGGGCAACAGAAGGCATTTTTAAGAAATAGCATGGAGGGGAAATCTCTAGGGCACTTACGTAGTTTTCCAAGAGCATCTTTGACAAGGACCGTAATTCCTTGAATATTTTCCCTCTCTCGGCTGGTCCTAGCGCGGGCAACGTGTGGGAGGTCAGCCAGCTCCCCACGCAGCAGAGCAGGAACAGGGCGGACGTCGTGGGCCCTGGAGAGAGAGTGACGCTGTGAGGCACGCGGACCTGACACCCCTGCCCGCCCGCTCCAGTGCTGAAGCCCCCCTTCCAGGATCTTCCTCCCTGGCGAGGTAAGACTATGGCCGAGACGCAGCGGGCACCGGGGCACGGGCACTGCCTGTACCTGCACGCGAGGCCATGGCGGGAGGAGCGGGCCTGCTTCTGCGGCGGCGTCTGAGCCAGATGTGCCGGCCTGGGCCGCGGGGTATATAAAGGGCCGGGGCGGGGGAAGAACAGCAGGCAGCGTCCCGCCCATGGCAAAATCGCTGCTTATCTTTTCTCCAGAAAACACTTTAAAAATTCTGCCAGCCAAGGCTGAATGAAAGCAGGGCTGGAAGGAAACGCTGAGGTTACCCTCAAGGTGGGCAGATGCCTGACTCAGTGTGCACACGCACACACACGCGCACACACACACACACACACTGCACAGGAAGGCACACACGTCGCCGCCAGTTCTTGGAAAGAGCTTGTCGATTTGACTAGACAAAATTTTGAAGCCCAGGTTGACAGGCACAACCACCAAGGGACAAGTGACTTACAGGAGTTGAGGGCCAGCGCCCCGCAGGGAATTTCTGGGGAGGTCGTGCTGAGTGCGCACGGGCGCGCAGCTGGCGTGAGATTCGCAGAACGCCGCGTCTCCGGAAACTTCTGCGTTGTGGCCGCGCTGGCATGGGAGAGCGGCCCCGTGACCCCTGAGAGAGTGCCGCGTCCGAAGCCGCGTCGCCACCGCACGTGGCCTCCCACCCCCCTGGCCTCTCACCTGAGCCTCTGCCAGCCCAGGGCCCACGCCGAGTCCGTGCTCGCCAGTTGTTGGCTGAAATCTCTTAGGTCCTCGGGAATGGCAGGGGTCGAGTGAGGCAAGGGGCCTGCCCTCACGGACCTGGCGTCGTGGTGGGCCGGGGGCAGGTGACAGACAGCATCCATCGACACACAGCAGGGTACTGGGCAATAACAGGGACTGTCATGGTAACAAGGTGATGGGCTACGGAGTGACGGGTGACATACTTTACGTCAAGTGATCAGAGAAGAGTCTCTGAAGAGGTGACATTTAAGCTGAGGCCCGAAAGATTGGGAGATCTGGGGAAAGAATGTTGCAAGCAGAGGACACAGTGCAAAAGTGCTCAGGCAAAGCTTGGTTGTTGTTCGAGGTAGCTGGAGTGAAGTGAGGCCATGACAAAGAGCTTGGGCTTTATTCCAAGTGTGATGAGACACCACTGATGGCTTCAGGTAGGGAAATACAGCATCTGATGCACTGTTATTTGGGTTTTCTTCTTTTGAGACAGGTCTTCCCTGTCACCCAGGCTGGAGTGCAGTGGCATCATCACAGCTCACTGGAGCCCCAAGTTCCTGGACGTAAGTGATTCTCCTGCTTCAGTCTCCTAAGTAGCTAGAACTACAGGCACGCACCACCACGCCCGGCTAATTCTGTTATGTTATTTTTTGTAGAGATGGGGTCTCACTATATTGCCCAGCTGGTCCTAAACTCCTGGAGGACTCAAGCAATCCTCCTGCCTCAGCCTCCCAAAGTGCTGGGATTATAGGTGTGAGCCACTGCATCTAGCCCTGGTGTATTTTAAAAAGAGAGAAGAAGATAGGCTGCCAAGTGGAGAAGGTGTGGTGGGAACCCAAGGTGGAAGCAGGGGACCCATGGGAGGTTGTGCAGCATCCAGGTGAGAGATGGCAGCAGTTCGGACCAGGGTGCCGAGGATGGAGAACTGGCTGATGGACTGATGTGGAGATGGGTTAAATAAATGAATCAAGCAAGAATCCTGAGGGGGTATTTTTGAGACGGGGTCTTGCTATGTTGTCCAGGTTGGTCTCAAACTCCTGGGCTCACATTGGCCTCCTGAGTAGTTGGAGCTACAGGAGAGCACCACCACGTCCAGCTCTGAATCCCAGGATTTTAATGAAGCAATTGGGTGGTTGATGTTCAATGAGGAAAAACAATGGAGATGGGCAGTCATGAGTCTCGTTTGGAACAAGGTAAATTCGAGAAGCCAGGGGGCATCTATTCCATGTCAAATCAGCCGTTGGGTAGGAGTCCAGAGCTCAGGGATAAGGTCAGGTCTGGGTGGTCCATAGAACCCAAAATGCACAACAGAAGGGACACAGCCAGGAAACCCCAAACCTTTGGACACTGCTGTCTCCTTCCTCTTCTTTCTCATCCAAGCTTCTTCTTTTTTCTTTTTTTTTTTTGAGACAAAGTCTCGCTTTGTTGCCCAGGCTAGAGTGAGTGCCGTGGCGTCAGCCTAGCTCACAGCAACCTCAAACTCCTGGGCTCAAAGGCATCCTCCTGCCTCAGCCTCCAAGTAGCTGGACTACAGGCATGCGCCACCATGCCTGGCTAATTTTTTTTCTATATATTTTTAGTTGGCCAATTAATTTCTTTCTATTTATAGTAGAGACGGGGTCTCGCTCTTGCTCAGGCTGGTTTCAAACTCCTGACCTCGAGCAATCCGCCCCGCCTCGGCCTCCCAGAGCGCTAGGACTACAGGCCTGAGCCACCGCGCCCGGCCTCATCCAAGCTTCTTGCCAGAGTTGTCTACGCTCACTTCTCTTCACTCCCCAAACCGCAACGACACGGCTTCCACCCCAACAACTTCATCCACGTCCTCTAGCAAAGTCCCTGGCAGGCACGACTTCGCCCTGCTGGTGTTTACTCCCCTAATTATGTTACAGTACACGGCAGAAGGGACTTTGTAGATGTCCTCCGGGTTACTAACCAGTTGGCTTTAGAATAGATTTTCCTGGTTTATGGGTGGACCCAGCGCAATCTCAGAGCCCTTCAAGACAGACGAGGAAGGCAGACAGCGTCCAAGCGTGAGGATTCACCTGGTGCTGCCGGCTTGAAGGTGAAGGGGCCTCGTGGAAGGAAATGAATTTGGCCACAACCAGTGAGCTTGGGAGAAAACCCTGAGCCCTAGATGAGAGCCCCATTCCCAGGCGATCCCTTTATTTTAGCCCAGTGGGGTCTCGAGCAAAGAATCTACACACAGCAGGCTGGACTTCTGACTCGCAGACACTGGGACCAGAAATCTGTGGTTTTAAACTGCTCAGTGTGTGGCACCTGTCACAGCAGCAATAGGGCACTGTCACAGCCCCCAGCGGCCTCGCGTTGCCAGCCTTTCTGGGTTCTTTCCAGCCTTTGTCTCACCTGACCCTTCCACGCAGGCGATGATGCCGGTCCCTTCCACCTTCCCGACAGCCTTTTTCCTCTCCTTCCGTCGCAATGTTATCCTGACCCGGTTTACCCCCGACGGTCCTTCTCAGTGTCTGCACTGGGTCACCTGCGGCCCCGCCCTTTATGCGGACGTATCTCCGCTGTCTCCTCCCTTGATCTGTGTTCCTCGCACTTTGACGCCTCTCTCCTTCCAACGCGGGATCTAAATGTCCGCCCACGTCCCACCTGTGCCTGCGATTCGACACCCCCAAAGGGGGGCTCTGAGCCAGGGCGATGGTGACAATGGAGATGGCGCTCGACTGGATGTGGGGTGGTGGGACGTTGGAGTTGAGGACGACATCTGGGTTTCTGGTTCAGGAAACTGGGTGGGCGCTGCTGCTGCAGACTGGGAGGGTGTCCCAGGGCTGAAAGCCTTCGGGGCTCGTGAGAGGCGATGAAGTCAGTTTTGGACACGGCGAGGCAGAGGTGTCATGGGACACTCAGGGAAAGACATTCAACAGGACACTGGACATTTAGGTTTGGAGCCTGAAGGAACTGGAGACATAAATTTGGGTGCCTTCAACATATTGTCATTGATAAAACCGTAAGCCTGGAATAGCCGGACAGTGGGGGACATGAGAGTGAAGCATGGAGCCCTGGGATACGTCTCCGTTAAGGAGGTGACTTAGTCTGGAGCACTGAGAAGGCCACTCTCAAGAGAAAAAGAAAAGTACCAAGAAAACATGCTGTCATGGAACGAAACGAAAGTGGTTTTTCAAGACAGAGGAAATGGTTGGCATCATCGTACGTAAGCCACCAGGAGGTCAAACAAGATAAAGGCTGAAGAGATTCACTAGATTCTGCAATGTGAGGTCACAGGAACTTTGCTAGGGGACTTTGAATAAATTTTTTGAATGGAAGCCATATGGTGGTGGTTTAGGAAATGAAAAAGTGAGCGCAGGCCACTCTGTAGAGAAGCTTGGATGAGAAAGAAGAGGAAAGAGACAGTGGTTGGAGGGGAACTTGGGGTTTCCTGGCTGTGTCACTTCTGTTGTGCATTTTGGGTTCTATGGACCACCCAGACCTGACCTCATCCCCGAGCTCTTGACTCCTACCCAGTGGCTGATTTACACTGAATAGATGCCCCCTCTCCCCCGTTTCTTGAACTTACCTCTTTCCAAAGGGGACTCTTGATGTTCCCTGTCTAGTTCTCCCTTCACTGCATACCCTCCCCCCAGTTGCTCCATCAAAATCCCAGGAACCATCTGTAATTCATCTCCTTGATTTGTTTCTATCACTATGGACTCATGGATCTTTATTCTTTGAAGAGATATATGGTCATCTTTTTGCCTTATCTCCCAGTTTTGGATAATTTTTCTAATTATGAAAAAGAATGCATAAGAATGGCAGGTGTTGCTATGGTCTGCATGAAGGTGTCCTTCCATAATTAATATGCTGGAACCTAGAACCCAGTGTGGAGGTATGAAGAGGTGAGACCTTTTGGGAAGTGATGAAGTCATGAGGGCCCCTCATGATTGGGATTTATGTCCTTGTAGAAGAGGCTTCAGAGAGCTGCCTGGCCCTGCCATCCCATTTGCCATGTGAACACACAACAAAGTGCCATTTTGGAAGCAGAGAGCAGCCCTCACCAGATATTCCTAGGCCCAAATCCACAAACACCTTGATCTTGGACTTCCCAGCCTCCAGAACTGTGAGAAAATAAATTTCTGTTCTTTATAAAGCACCCAGGCTAAGATATTTTGTTACAGCAGCAGGAATAGATAAAGACAGATGCTCACCACAGTGGGCGTTTTGGGAAGGATCACAATCAATAAATTGGACTTCCTCAAAAGTAAAATTTTTTGCTTTTCTAAAGACAGTTACAAGGCTGAAAAAACAAGCCTAGCCTGGGAGAAAAATATTTGCAAATCATACATGTAACAAAAGACTTGTATACAGAATATATAAAGAATGCTTAAAACCCAATTTTATGGATTGAGAATAGTTTGTAAGAAATGACACCACTAAAGCATAAAGACCCAAAGAAAAAAATAAATTATTTTATCAAAATTAAATACTTTTGTATGTCTAAGGATACTGTCAAGAAAGTGAAAAGTCAACCTACAAAATGGGAGAAAATATTTGTAAATCATAAGATAAGGGGCTATTATCAATAACATATAAAAAACTCTTACAAATCAACAATAAAAAGACAAGTAACCCAATTAAAAAATGGGCAAAGGATTTGAATAGACATTTCTCCAAAAAAGATATACCAATGGCCATAATAAGTGCATGAAAAGATGCTCAATATCATTAGTTAGGCATTAGTGAAATGCAAATAAAAACCATAATGAGATGTCATTTCACACCTACTAAAATGGCTATAATATTAATTTTGAAAAGTAAAATAACAAGTCTTGGCGAGAATATAAAAAAACTGGAACTCTCATATATTACTGGTAGGAAAGCAGATGGTGCAACTGCTGTGGAAAAGTTTGCTCCTTTTTCAGACAGGGTCTCCTTTGTTGCCCAGGCTGCAGTGCAATGGCATCAATCATAGCTCACTGCAGCCTCAAATTCCTAGGCTTAAGCAGTCCCTCCTGCCTCCGCCTCCCGAGTAACTCAGACTATAGGCATGCGCCACCATGCCCAGATAATTTTTTAATTTTTTGTAGAAACGAGTTCTCTCTGTGTTGCCCAGGCTGATCTCAAACTCCTGGCCTCAAGTAATCCTCCTACCTAGGCCTCTCAAAGTGCTGGGATTACAGGCATGAAAGACTACGCTTGGCCCTGTTCCTCAAAATGTTAAACATGACCCGGCAATTCCATCCCTAGGTATCTACCCAAAAGAAATGAAAGTATGTTCACAGAAAAACTTCTACTCAAATGTTCATAGCAGCTTTATTCATAGTAGCCAAAAAGTGGAAACAACCCAAATGTTCATCTACTGATCAATGGATAAGCAAAATGTGGTCTATACGATGGAATGTTAATCAGCCACAAAAAGGAATGAAGGACTGACACATGCTACAACATGGACCTTGCAAACATTGTAAGTGAATGAATCCAGACACAAAAGGACAAATACTGTCTGACTCCATTTACATGAAAAAGACAAATCAGTAGAGACAGAAAGCATATTAATGGTTGCCAGAGGCTGGGCAGATGGGGGAATGGAGGTTGACTTGCTTAATGGGTACAGGGTTTCCTTGTGGGGTGAGAAAAATGTTGAAAATTAGATTACAGTGATGGTTGCACTGTGAATAAATTAAAGCCTACAGTTCCTTTAACTGGGAGATGTTATATCTTTGTTGAGATGTAATTTACATACCATAAAACGGTCCGCCGCTTCAGGACTCCAGTGAGGAAGGCCGTTTTCTGCGAGAACTGGCCATCCAGAACCCACTGAATGCTCAAGGACTCATCTCTGCAGAATTGTACACTTTAAATGGGTGTGTTTCATGGTATGTAAATTACATCTCAACGAAGATATAACATTTCCCAGTTACAGGAACTGAATCATCTTACCCTGTTAATTTCAAAGCACTGCCCAGGAGCCCCACTGTGCGGCCCTGCTCCCAGGGATGGGGAGGTAAAACCGATCGGTCTGAAATGAGGTCTTGGTGCTAAAACGGTTATACAGGTAGACAGGGATAAACTCCTGACTCCAGGATTAGAGAGATGGACACTGCAATCCCCTGGCTGGAATCTTAAGATGTTTGACCTTGGGCTCATTTCTCCTTTCTAGGTCTGTCAAATGGGTATAATAATCAGCACTTTCTGCAAGGAGTTCCTGGGAGGAGAAATGGGAACCGGTTGGGTGGGGAACCTATGGTCTTGGAGCCATCAAAACCTGCAGGAAACGGCAGCACTTAAAGCCACCAGTCTGGTGGGGTCAGGGATTATTATCCCATTTTTACAGGTTAGGTCAGAAGAGGAAGCCCCGGTGGTCTGGGGCTGAGCCGGGGTCTGTCTCCCCCGGCCTGGGAGGGCTTTTCCTCCAGGGAAAGAAACCTGGCGCTCCCCCAGCAGCCCGGGATTCGGCAGCGCCCAGGTGGTCGCGCGCCCCCGCGGTTCGAGAACCCGCCGCCCGGCGCCGCCGCGTCCTGGCGGTTGCCTAGCAACGCAGGGGCGAGCATGTCGGCGCGGCATTCAAGCGGGCACCGGACCCACCCGGGCACCGTGAGCGCGGCGGTGCGCCAGCACCTGCGGAAGCTGTGTCTGCACGAGTTCCCGTGCGGCACCGGCAGCTGGGTGCGGCGCGGCGCGGCCGGGGGCGCCGGCGGCCAGGCCTGGGCGGGCCGGACAGGCCGAGGGAAGGACCCGGCCCAGGCCTGGCTGGGAGCTGCTGGGCCTGAGGGGACTGTCTGGGGCGCGGCGGGGACTCAGACCCAGGGGCTGAGAGGAAGTTTGGGTCTGGCCATCTCTGCAGCGGAGACCTGGGGGGTTCTCAACTTGGGGCGACTTTGCCTCTTGTGGGACCTTAGCTGCCATCTGGGGGCATCTTTGATAGTCACAACCAGTGGGGCAGCTGCTAGTGGCGTCTGCGGAGTAGAGGCCAGGGATGCTGCTAACTGTCCTGCAGTGCACGGGACAGTCCCCACAACAAAGGACGACCAGGCCCAAAGGGCAACCGAGAACGACCCCGTTGGATCTTAAGAGATTCGGATCCTTCAGAGGGCTGTGTCACAGCTGGGACGCTCTCTGTCTCTGCCCCTGCAGAACAAGTCGCGCTTTCTCCCGCGAACTTGGCGAACATGGAGGGAGCTGATCCCCAGAGAGGAGGACACGGTGAGCCCCGGGGAGGAGACGGTGGAGGCCCTGCTGGGCCTGGTCCGCAGCCCCCACTCGCCCTGGGCGCTGCTGCAGGACTCGAGTGCGGAGGACCGTTTTCTGCGAGAACTGGCCATCCGGAACCCACTGATGCTCAAGGACTCCTTCTTCTACTCCTACTTCCGCTCCCTGCGGGTGGTGGACAAGGAAGTGAGCGCCACAGCGGCTTGTGGGGTTGGTGTTAGGGTGGCCGCTGTCCTGAGGGAGGGTGCAGGTGGGCGCCCTTCTCTGCAGCGCCTCTGGGGACCTGCGTCGGGGGCTGATACCAAGGCCAGTCTGTCCTCTGTCGAATTAATGTCGTCAGCTTGTCCCCACGCAGGGCCAGCTGCTGGTCATTCTTTGCCGTGGATCTTCTTCCACTGTGCATCTCACACGGCTCATTCCTGGCGGACCTGCAGTTGACCTCCTGGGTCCCAGCAAAGGCCTTGTGGAGGGGCCATTTCAGTTCCACTTCATTTGAACTGTGAGGGCCCCAGGTCGCGCAGGGCTGGCAAACTGCTAACTGTATTCATTTCTGTCGCTAAAAAGCCACCTTTGCCTAGACTAGTAACAGAGCCCAACATTGTGTGGAAACTTAGTCTCAGGCTTCCCGAGCCTTTGCTTTGCTTTCTTTTTCCAGAGAAACTGGGCGATTACATGGTAGTTAGCAGATGAGTGGGGTGACTGACTTGTCCCGCTCTGCCTGGCGCTTTCTCAGTTCTAGCGCTGAAGGTGTTACGTCCCAGGAACCCCCTCCATCCAGGGCCATCTGGCACAGTGGGTCACCCTAGAGAATAGGGGCCCAGCTAGGAAGGGCCTCAGTGTCTTGGAGGCCACAGAGAACTGAGGATTCTTGGGCACAGGAGCTGACCTGGCATTCAGACACCACCTCCAGGCAGTGGAGGGGTGAGGGGTGGACGAGGCCCTTGAACCCTGGTGGAATGATGCGGGAATGGTTTAGAGAGGAGGGAGCACTGGGAGGTGACCCTGCGAGCGGACGAGCTGTGGTTTTCCTAAGGTAGCCTTGCCTTCTGCTGCAGTGCTGTCCTGCCCACTACCGCTTAGCTTCCTTGCCTTCCCCGCCAGGTGAGCCATGTGGACAAAGACCTCCTGAAGTTTCTAAAGCTGGAGGAGTTGGTTCTGAGCGCCAATCGAATCAAGGAGGTCAATGCTGCCAACCTGCCCCCAACGCTCAAGGTGAAGGAGCCCTGGGTCCGTTTAGGAGCTTTGAGCCAGGGCTGCCCCTCACCACCTACCGGGTTTGGCCGGGGCAGCTGTGTGCTAAGGCCCAGCTCCAGGCTTTTAAAATATAGGCCACGTTCCTCAAAAAGTTAAACGTAGAATCACCATGTGACCCAGCAGTTCCATTCCTCGTTATACGCCCAAAAGGATTGAAGACAGAATCCTTGCACAGTAGTGTCCACAGCCAAAGGTGCAAACGACCCAAGTGTCTGTAAACAGATGAATAAACAAAAGAAATGTGGTATATCCCTACAGTAAGGCATTATTCACTCATAAAAGGGATGAAGTACCAGTGCATGCTATAACACGGGTGAACTATGAATATAATTAATGCCATTGAATTAGACACTTAAAAATGGTTAACATGGCAAATGTTCTGTTATATATATTTTATCCCAGTAGAGATAGATTAAAAAGGGTAAGCCGGGTTTTACTGAGTCTTCAGCCGAGCATATAAAAATGGTCTTAATTTTAAACTAGAGGCTGAGAATGGTTACCTTAGTGGCAGAAGGGACTCCTGGGTGTGGCTGTGTGCCACGGCTCAAGAAAAACCCAGGCCTTTGGGTTGAGGCCTTGGGTGAGAGCTACGAGCGGGGAGAGGAAGGATTCTCGGTTATCTCTGGGTTTATTCCTTATTCCATCCGGGGTCCCTTTGGCTTTCACGGAAACATGTTCCCATGAGCTGAGAAGGTGCCAAAGTGTCATGCATCTCCCCTCCCACCCACCCCAACGTCACCCCCTTTCCAGAATCTGAAGATTCTTTCACAAAAGGAAAGGAAACTTCCCAAGACCTGCAGGAATATTTTCTTCCTGGATTTTCAAAAGGGAGCCCAGCTGGGCCCAGGGAGGCGGGACATGAACACCTTGTGATTCCGCTTCTGAGTTTCCCAGGGCAGAAGGAAGGGCCCTAACCGTCAGTGCTGACTTAGCACCTTGCTGTGGCTGTCCCGTGGCCTCCAGGTGCTGGAGCTCTACGGCAACCTGATCAGCAGCCTGGAGTGTCTGTGCGCTCACCCGCCCCCGAACCTGCAGCACTTGGGCTTGGGCCACAACAAACTCCGCGGCCCTTCGGAAAGTCAGCACCTCACCTCCAGTCACTGGTAACTCGGGACCCCAAAGGGAGAGAGGGAGGGAGAGATTCAGCGTCAGGTGTGGGCGATTCTGCCCCGGGGGGCTTGGAGAACTCAACTTTGCTCTTCCTTTGACTCCCTGCTGGCTGCCAGCTCAGGCCCAGGCGTTCATTTCTCTGGCCCTTCCCACTGAAGCCCCGGGAAGGGTCCCAAGGGGCAGTGGGAGTGAGTCAGACTCTTGGCGTTGGTGGCATACTTTAGGGCAGGGTCTCTCAACACGGGCTCTGTTGCCTTTCGGGCCTGACCGTCCTTTGTTGTGGGGACTGTCCTGTGCATGGCAGGATGTTAGCAGTGTCCCTGGCCTCTGCCCAGTGGGTGCCAGGAGCAGCTCCCCACTCGTTGTGACAATCAAAAGTGTCCCCACATGGTACCTGAGGTCCCATGAGAGGCGACATCGCCCCAAGCCGAGAACCACTGCCCTGGAGACAGACAGAACCCTCTGTTACTCGGGACGCGCCGTCGTTATTGAAGAGCCAGTGTCTCGAGTTGTACACAACAGTCGCCTCCTGGTTATTGATGTTTGACATTGTCCCTTGGCGGGTGAGCCGCAGAAAACTTAAAATCCTGGCTCTGAGAAGTGTGAGGGGGTCAGAGGCCACCCAGGAAAGGCCGTCAGGGCAGCTGGGCCAGGAAGGCGGCGCAGAGCGAAGGCAGCTGTGCCAGGCCCGACGGCCGCGCGGGGCAGGGCGCTGCTTCCTTCCTCACGGCCGCGACTGCAGGCAGCGCAGGTCAAACCACCTCGCTCCCCACCCAGGGCCCTGCGGCACTCCCTTGGGGGTCCAACGGTACCTGCTCCTGCAGGGGGAGGACCTGGTATGGAGGGGAAGGCCCCTCTCTGAGCGTGGTTTCCTTCTGCCCCCTTCTCTTCTGCTCCGGGGACGAGAGGCGAGGTCCCCAGGTTCAACCAGTGGGAAACCGAGCGGCGGTTGGAACAACCGACCGTGCTGACAGGCGCCCCTCCAGGCGCCCTTGCGTCTGTCCTCAGGGCTGGCATCGGTCTGCTCTCTAGCGCACGGCAGCGGGGAAGCCCTTCCCAGCCCCCTTTGCCAGGCACGGATGCAGCATCCTGTGGTCGTGTTCCGCTCTGGCTGTGACCAGCACTGTCCAGATGGCTTGTCCCTGCAGCCGCAGGACCCCCCTCCCTGTCCCCACGGTGCCCCACTCCTCCCCGGCCTTGCTGCCTGGGGTGGCACTAAGCATTTGCGGAGACCCTCCCGGGCGCACTCGGCGTGAAGGTGGGCAGAGGCAGGCTGCGACGGCCGTCCTGTGGCGCGGACTGTGAGGGCGGCGGCCTTACTGGACGGTGACGGTGGTGACGCAGAGCCGGGAGGTTATTCCCAGTCCAGGGTTGACCTGGGTCCTGGGTGGAACGAGGCAGGCCGAGCGTGGGCAGAGTCCTCAGGCTCGGCTGTCGTCCTGGGCACAGGACCGACCCCCCTCGCCCACCTGGCTGCCTGACCCCGCACCTCCTGCCGCCCTCCAGGCCCAAGCTCGTCTCTCTGGACCTGAGCTTCAACGAGCTGACAGACTTGCAGGTCATGATGGTCAACCTCAGGAGCCTCAGGCAGCTGCGGCTGCTGGTGCTGCAGGGGAACCCGCTGGCGCTGGTGCCCTACTACCGCGGCTTCACCATCGACAGCCTGTTGCGGCTCTGCGTGCTAGACGACATCACCGTGTCCCCCAACGAGAAGCATCAGTTCCGGGGGCTCAGCCTCAGTGGCGGTGAGGGTGCCAGTGTGTAGGCAGGAGGTGGCACGGGATGCCCCAGCCTCTGCCTGGCCGTTCCCCACCCTTCGGGGTGCATGCTGCCCTCTGTCCCCGCAGCTCCCGTTTGACCCAGACCCCGGTCAGGTCCAGCTTCTCTTCTGGGTCAGAGTTTCTCCCAGGTGTAGATCCCTGGGATTGGGATTTGGAGACAGAAGAGGTCGGGAGGCCGGGACAGTTTTTTCAAGCCATTTCTTCACCTCTGTGGTGGCTTAAGATCACCCCCTTGTGGCCCATGCCACAAGGTGCACTGGAGCCCTCAAGGTCAGCGAGATAAAATGTTGACATCGGCAGTGCGCTGGGCACGTGCTCAGATGGCGTGGATTTTTGATCTCCAGCCCTGTCTGTAACTATCCCTGCAAAGCAGCTGTCAGCGCTCCCATGGCTTCAGTGGGGTGTGGTGACTTAGCCCACATCACTCCTGTTCACTCGGCAGAGCTGGGATGTGCACCCCGGCCGGCCAAGCTCTAAGGCCCAGCCCTGCGTGGGGGAGAGGGCGGGGGACCGCGTCTGCCCGCCGCCTCCTGCTCCCACGGGTCCCTCAGTCCGGCCCATTCCTCCTTGCAGATTTCTTGGCACGTGAGGCGCAGCTTGTGGTGACCATTGGGAATGTCCGAGGGGTCGTGGACACCTCTGTCTTCCACTCAGAACCAAAGCCTGAAGGCCCTTACATCAGCTACAACTATTACGTGACCTACGATTTCATAGAAGAGGAGGAGGTCGTGGGGGACGAGTACATGGGCGTGCTGGCCGAGGTGCGCCCGGGCTGCTCCTGGAGCACGGGTGGCTCCGTGCGTGGGTGTGCTAGGTCCCTGTGCAGGCAGAACTGCTCCCTGGCGCCCAGGAACACCTGTGACGTGGAGCTGTCATTCGTGCCCCTGCTCGCAGCAGGGACCTGGCTTCAGCTCGGCCCCTTTCTTGCAGCTAGAGGGATTCTCGACCTGCACACGCCCTCTGTCCCCTCGAGATCCTGGCCTCATGAGGGGCAGCCCAGAATTTCATGAGGCCCCTCACTTCCAGCCCCCTCCTGCAATGTCCCCAGCACCTCCCTTCCCCCTCCACATGAGAAGAAAGCCCAGGACGCCATCTGACCGGGACCAGCGTGATGATCCCCGTCTCCCGCTCTGATACGGGAGCTGTTCCTGCTGCTGTGTTCACTCGTAGAACTTTCAGAAAAAGCACGACCAGCTCTTTTTTTTTTTTTTTCAAACTTCCTGGCTTCTGAGCTGGTGCGTCTGCTCGTGCCTTGGGCTCCTGCAGACGCCGGTGGCTGCGGAGACAGTCCCAGGGCGTCGGAGCCATCTGAAGCCTGGGACGTGTTTCCGTGTCTTCCCCGCAGATCGTCAAGCCTTCTCCCAGCCCGGAATTATTTGTGGAGGAGGCATTTGCTGAAGAAGACTTCATGGAGGAGGCCAAAGAGTCCGTAGAGTCTGGGACAGGCGAGTCGGGAGAGTCGGACTCGACCCACGACTCTCCTGAGTCGGCCTCTGTGCCGAGGTCCTTGGACTCCGCGGAAGAGCTGGCCAAGTTGCGGCCTCGTGTAGATCCCCGGCTCCTCCCGTCCCCAGGGTAAGGACGGGAACATGGCCAGGGCAAGTGGTAGGAAGGGTCACTAGGGTGCCAGCACGCCGGGACCGCACAGCCGCCTGCCTTTCCGTCCCAATGGCCGAGCCACGCGGCGGAGCCCATGAGGCCCCGGGCTGTGAGCCCCGCGGGCGCGCCCGGGCTGGGTCCCATCTCCCGCAGTCCTGCCTCCGCCTGGAAGTGCAGCTAAACCCCATTTCCCTGAGCAGCCGAGGGTTTCTGCACGATTGAATGTCTTGAGTCAACTGAGCAATGGTAAATGGACACCCTTTTCCTCTCAGCCCTTGGGGTTGAAAACCTGTCGGTTTAGCTTTTTGATCCATATGGATGTATTCGGGCACAGAAAGTGTGGTAAGGGTCTTCCAACCCATATACTGTGGTTTTCATAAGTCCCATCTGGTCCATTTCATGGGTTTCATATGTATCACACATCTTATTTGTTAAAGAATTAATTTTGATGAGGAGGAATTTTATAGGAACTTACAGTCAGTTTTTATAGGTTTGTTTTTTGTTTTTTGTTTTTTTTGAGACAGAGTCTCACTCTGTTGCCTGGGCTAGAGTGCCGTGGCGTCAGCCACACTCACAGCAACCTCAAATTCCTGGGCTCAAACAATCCTCCTGCTTTAGCTTCCGAAGTAGCTGGGACTACAGGCACACACCACCATGCCAGGCTAATTTTTTCTAGTTTTAGTTGTTTGGCTAATTTCTTTCTATTTATAGTAGAGACAGGGTCTTGCTCTTGCTCAGGCTGGTCTCAAACTCAAGTAATGCCCCCGCCTCGGCTTCCCAGAGTGCTAGGATTACAGGCGTGAGCCACCGCGTCTGCCCAATAATTCTACCACTTTAAACGTTAGGTAAATTGGCAAATAAAAGTTTCCTTCCCTCCCTCCATCCAACTCATCTCATAGAATTAATTACTCTTAACAGTTTTGTGTATGTAATTCCCTAATTCTTCTTAAACAGACATATGTGTAGAATACACATATTTATATAATTTATTTTTTACAATAAAATGGACAGGTTCTATGTATTGATTTGAAATTTGCTGATTCTGCATATGGCATAGACAAAATACTTGTTCTTTTTTAAATAATTTGAGTGTAACGTGTATGGAGAAGTGTATGCATCTTACAGCCCGGTGGTGAGAACGCTTACATAAGCACCAGCCCGACTAGACGTGGAACATTAGCAGCCCCCCAAAGGCCACGCTCCTTCCCAGTCCCAGCCCCCAGCTCCTCCCCAAGGTCACTGTCATCTCTCCTGTCTTCTAACACCATTAACTAGTTTTGCCTGTCTTAAAACTTTATATAGATAAAACCATGCAGTATTTTTGTGTCAGTTTCTTTTGCTCATTTTGTTCATGAGATTTCACCCGTGGTTATGTGTGGCATTAGTCATTCTGTTTCTTTCCTGCGCAGTATTCCATTGTGTGAATATACTGCATTTTATGTCCGTTCTGTTACTGTTGGACTTTGGGTTTGTTTCCAGGTTTGGGCTATAATGAGTAAACCTGCTGTTCATAGGAACATTCTTTTTCTCTTTGAAGTATATTGTGTAAAAAAATATATTATGTATATGTTTCAGCTTAGGAGATATTGCCAAACATTTCCCAAAGTGGTTGTCCCCAATTTACCCTCTCACAAAAAGTAAAAGAGAATTCCAATTGCATCGGCATTCTTGCTAACACTTGTAGTCTTTCACTGTTAGCTTTTCTATTGAGTGTGTCGTCAGGGGTCTCCAGGACCACCCCCAGTTCAGTAATGCGCTGGACCCTCAGGACCCAGCTGGTATCGATACTCACGGCTGATGCATTATTACCTTGAAAAGCACACAGAGCAAGATCAGCCAGGAAAAGGGCATGGGCCAAGTCCAGAGGAGACCAGGCGCGAGCTTCCAAGAGCCCTCTCTCCGTGGAGTGTCACAGCACGCACTTAATTTAATTAATTCCCCCCGCAACTTGAGACGACACTCGTACGGTGTCTGCCAGGAAAGTTCCCCGAGTCTAGGAGTCGGGGGTTTTTGCTGGGGGCCGGTCATATAGGCACCTACCAAAATTCCAGCCTCCCAGAAGGACAGCCGGTGTTCAGCATAAAACATGTTGTTTGTATAAACGGTCTAGAAGCGATGAGCCGCTCTTACCAGCTGAGAGAATGCTGAGAACCCCCCAGAATCTTTCAAGATTCTGGAGGCATGCAAGATCCTTACCACACTTCCCAGAGGCCGCCAGGGGCCAGCTGCCAGCAGCCTTCCGAAGGGGAGCAGCCCCCCACCTGCTGCCTGGCCTGTCTCCGTAGGTGCATGTTATATCTCAGGGCGGTTGTAATGTGCTTTTCCCTGATCATGAATGCCGTAGGACACGCCTTCCTATGTTTATTGGCTATCTGGATTTCATCTTTTGTGGCGTTCCTGACTTTCTCACCCATCTGTTTTATGGGCTCGTCCGTCTTTTTCTCGTTCGTGTGCGGGGTTTCCCCGTGTATTCTGGATACAAGCCTTTCTCGGTGTTATGCTCGGCAGGTAACTTCCCCATTCTCTCGCTTGCTTTTCCACTCTCTTAACACTGTCTTTGGATGAACGGACGTTTTCAGTATGAAAGTTCCTATTTAAGAACCCTCTGGCCAGGCGTGTGGCTCCCACCTGCAATCCCGGCGCTTCGGGAGGCCCAGGCGGGCACACGCGTGTGGGAGGGAACGGCAGAGAGAAGCTCGAAGGTGACGGAGGGAGGGTGGGGGTTGGCAGGAGAGAGGGCTGGAGAGGTAGATGGAGAAAAAAACCCTCCTTCCTCCCCAGGGGAAACTGCTGGAAGGTTTTAAGCAGAAGAGTAACGAGGTCAGGGTTACGTTCCGGGAAGCGACTACAGTGAAGAAGGTGACGTTGTGCAGATAGATTGTGTCGCCTCCCCTTACTCACTTCTTCAGCAGATTTCTGAGTGTTAGCCTTTATATATCTGTATCATTTATATACAGTGTACAGTTATCACTAGTTTTGGGGTTTTTTTTTTAATGTGGTTTTGTTTTTTTTTTATTCAGGAAGTTCTAAAATTTCTTTAACCTGGGAAAGTACAATTATTCACCTTGTATCTGAGGTTTTACTGTGTATCCTATTACTAAATGACATATGTTTTATTGTCTCATGCATTTTCCCCGTTTCGATGTTCCGCCTCGAGCACTGGTTTTGCTCAGTTCTTTTGCATCCTTCGTAAGCCTGGGCTGACCCCGTTGTCACTGGCCCTGCCGGCTGTGACGCGGCAGCACAAGCTTTCTCTGTGACTACACTGCCCTTCCTCCTCAGCGCTAGAATAAGTGAGTTATTTGATTTTCATCTGGTTTTTATCAGTGTTGAACTCGGGCATGTTTTAAATTTGTTACAGTATATACTGTTAATTCTTCTTCATGCTGTGATCAAGTATGTATTATCAAGTATGTATATCAATATGTATTAAATACTTCCCAGGCTTAACACTGCTTCGAGGTCACCGCGGTGTCCCGACCTGACATTGCTCCGGGTACACAGTCTGTGCTCCAGTCCGCGGCCAGGCTGGGGCAGCTTCCACCTGGGACCCAGTAGCTCGCTGTTCCGGGACTTGTTGCCTTTTGCCATACTTTACAATCCAGTGGCATAAATAACTCATTCATTTATTGATCGATCTGTTTATTCACAGATTATCACTCTAGGCACGCCAGGAACTAGGCTGGATACTGAGTATGTGGAAATCAGTATCCCCCAGTACATTCCTGGACTTCACCGCTGACAGCCCTCAGCTCTGCGTGTGTTGAATGTGCACGACAAAATCGCACCCCTTTTTAGCCCTTTTTGAGTGTACAGTTTACTGGCATCCGGTACATTCGCATCAGTGTGCCCCCATCACACCGTCCATCTCCAGAACTCTCCCCACCCTCCCAGACTGAACCCTGTTCCCGTTAAGCACTCGCTGTCCTCCCCCTGCCCCAGCGCCTGGCACCCAGGGCCACGCTGCTGTCTGTCTGTGCATGTGGCGGCTCCCGGTGCGGCTGTGAGTGGAAGCGCGCGGTGTTTGTTCCGGTCCCTGTTGTTCTCTTTTAAATGGATTCTTTGGGTTTCCTGCTTTCTCTGCCAGGTGACTTTCCACACTCGGTTTGTCAAGCCCCAGGACATATCACAGTAGAATTCTGACTGCCACTAGGGCGTCCCTTTGTAGCGTCTCTACTCCTCTACGGCCGCGCTGCTGAGCTCCGCTTTAAGCTTCCGGTCCTGTCTCGTTTCCACGAGGCGCAGGGCGCGTCAGCCCGGAAGGACTCTCCCTCGCGTTTCTCTGCCTTCTCCTCTGCGCCCACTTTCCTCCTGGCCTTCTGGTCCTCTGCCCTGTCGGGCGTGGCCGGGTCGCAGTCTCATGCCGTGCGTGGGCTCTGATGCTCAAGGTCTTCTCAGAGGTCCCCTCACAGCCTTGTCCCTGGTTCCTGGCCACAGCTTCCGGTGATGGCGCCCATGTCTCATGCCCCTCCCCAAGGACCGTCCTCTTCAGCACCGAGCGCAAGCCCTGGACTGACGTCATTCCCTGCAACTACGAGATGCTGCACACCTTCAAGGACCTGGTGTTGCTCAAGGCCTTCCTGCTGACAGGGACCACTGTGACCATCGTGGAGGAGAAGGTGGCGGGCGGAGGCAGGCGGCTCATCCCACCCTTTGCCCGTTCCAGATCCCGCGGGGCCATCCCATCCTTCCTTTCTGCAGGCACGCCCCTTACACCCCTCTCTGCGCCTTTCCAGAATGGTGGGCGGGGCCACCCCTCGCCCCCAACGCACCTCTGCTCACCTGGGGTGGCTTTCCTGTTCCTAGATCCTGTCCTGGCCATTAGTGCCGCCTACTGTCGACATCCCGTACCTGCCAAGAAAGGAAAAGGAGAAAGAGCAGAAGGGAAGGAGAAAGAGAAGGGGAAGTACAAGTCCAAGAAGGAGAGAGGAGCCTGTCAAGGTAGCAGCCGGGATGGCCCGAGGTGCTCAGGCCCCGCAGAGGGGTGGGCGGCCCAGCTGCGGCCCTCGCCACCCCGCCCCCAACGCCTGGCCTCATCCCCAGGAACGGAAGATGCCCAAGAAGAAGAGAGAGCTTCCCAAGGAGCTCCGCCAGGACCCGCCCATCCTGCAGGTGCTGGGCAGCGGCTCGGTGGTCCTGGAGCCTCTGCTCTCGGGGGAGCCCACGGTGACCAAAGTGTGCAACTTTGGGGTGATCCGCACCGCGGACTCTGACAAGCTGACACTTGCCAGGGTACAGCGGGCCCCTCCATGGCCCCCGCCTCTGCCTTCACCCTCCCCACGGAAACCTCGCTGGGCCAGGGAGGGCCGTGAGGCCCGGGCTGTGGGAGGAGGAAGGCTGGCCTGGCAGGGCCTTTCCCTGGGTCGAACACGCAGGGACCCTCCGTGGGACTGGGGCGGGCACCCGCCTTACAGGCAGACCCCGTACCCCGCTGGACCAGCCGGAGGCCTTGGAGGGGGTGGGGCCCCAGAGACTGCCCTCCCCAGCATCTCCCCGCTCTAGTAAAGATCTCGCTTTGTGGTTCTTTCTCTCAGGATTTGAAGAAGCTTAAGAAAGGTGCCAGAAAAGGTGAGCACTGACGGTGGTGACCGATTGAGCCCCTGCGGGCAGCCCAGATGCGGCAAAGGAACAGAAGGGTGGACAATCCCGGTTCTGGCCCATGGCGGGGCCATTTCCACCCTTAGGCCATGTCCATCCCCGGGTCTTCCCAGCAGCCCCCAGACCACGTTGCCCTTGGGGGTCATGACGTGGGTGGGAAAGGGAGTCTCAGAGCGCAGGGTCCTCCGCCACCAGGTGACAGGCCTCGGCTTCAGGTCGCAGCCCTACTTTGCCATGTGGGAAGCTTCAGCACAGTCCCTGGGGAACGCCAGCAATTTTGATCAGGAAGAGAGAACAAGACTGGAAAGGATCACACTTAACTGAATCCTAGAACAAAACTCAAGAATATGTGTAAGAACACAAAAAGAGACACCACTTAAGCTGAAATTCATAATGTCTGCCATCCAATAAGAAATTGCTAGGAATGCAAAACAAGAAAAGGCACTATGGAATTGATCAATCAAAATTGACTGAGAAATGACATATATATAGAATTATTGGACAAGGACACTAAAACAGTAATTATAATTGCACTCTGTATATTCAAGAAGCTAGAGGATAGCTCTCTGGGAGGCCAAGGCGGGCAGATTGCTCAAGGTCAGGAGTTCGAAACCAGCCTGAGCAAGGACAAGACACTGTCTCTGCTAAAACTAGAAAGAAATTAATTGGCCAACTAAAAATATATAGAAAAAATGAGCCAGGCATGGTGGCACGTGCCTGTAGTCCCAGCTACTCGGGAGGCTGAGGCAGGAGGATCCCTTGAGCCCAGTAGTTTGAGGTTGCTGTGAGCTAGGCTGACGCCATGGCACTCTAGCTTGGGCAACATAGTGAGACTCTGTCTCAAAAAAAAAAAAAAAGGAAGCTAGAGGAAAGATTGAACATGTTAAGTAATGACATGGAAGATAAATCAAACTTTTAGAGATGAAAACTTCAATGTCACATGACAGTTACATTCAATGGGATTAACAGCAGTTAGACAATGCAGAAGTAAAGTTTAGTGAACTTGAAACAATAGAAACTGTCTAAAATTAGGCAGGGCATGGTGGCTAACACCTGTAATCCCAGCACTTCGGGAGGCCAAGGCAGGAGGATCTCTTGAGGCCAGAAGCTAGAGAGCAGCCCTGGCAACATCATGAGGCCCTATCTTCCAAAAAAATAGAAAAATTATCCAGGCGTGATGCTGTGCCTGTAGCCCCATGTACTTGGGAGGCTGAGGCAGGAGGATCACTTTAAGCTCAGGAGTTTGAGGCTGCAGTGAGCTACCATCAAGCCACTGCACTCCAGCCTGAGTGACAGAGCAAGTCCCTGTGTCAAAAAAATAATAATTGTAGGTCTATACACTAGCAGTGAACAATCAGATATTGAAATTTTAAAATACCATTTATAATAGCATTGAAATAGGGATAAATCCAACAAAAGATGTGGAAATCCTGTTCACTGAGAACTGTAAAATGTTGTAAAGGGAGAGATGCATATGTACGTGGATTAGAAGGTTCAATTTTGTTAAGATGTTGGTTTTCCTCAAATTGATTTACGGACTCAACATAATCTCAGTCATAGTCTTGGCAGAATATTTTAGTAGAAATCAGCAAACCCATTCTAAGAGTCACATGGAAAGGACCTAAAATAGGCAAAACACTTTGAAAAAGAAGAACAAAGTTGGAGGACTTACACGACTGGACTTCCAAGAGCCATGCACGCATGACACGCACACCTGACTTGTCATACTTGTTTGTGGGGATAAGATGATCTTTTTTTTGTTTGTTTTTGTAATTCTCTTTAATGTCGGTCTTAATTGAAGACACCTGAATTTTTATAGCTACTTCTGTAGTCAGTTGCTTGTGATGATTACAGTGTATGAAGGAAATCCAACCTCATGCAGACACATAATTGGAAAGGAAGGGGTATTTTTTAATAAGCTTTCAAATAATTGAGGATATTCTTTAATATAACACCAAATTTGACATTCTTAACGGTTGTTACAATGTGAAAACTGAATCCATAATGAAATTTTTCATAAGTTAGATTAAAATCTATCGGTCTACTTGGCATTTTGAATGGATATTTATCATGCATGATTTATAACATGCATTGGTTATTTGTAAAATACAGTCCGAGTTATGCAGATCTTACAGCTGTTAATACATTCCTTATACATTATCCAAAAATCACTTTAATATCACCATCCCTATTCATTAGAAAAGTCTTTTAAGTACTGGACAACTGGTAAATTCATGGTGGCAGATGCAGTGTTCCAAAATTACAATTTCCAGCTGAAAGCTCAAAAGTTATAAATTTATTTATCGAAATACTTTCAGTTTTCCCTGAAATGTCAGAATTACTTGAGTTTCAGAAAAATATCTTCCCAATTCCCAAGTCTGAACATCCACAGTCAGTGTTCTTTCCAGTAAAAACGGTGTTCCGAGAAAACAGCCGCTAGTTCGTCGCACAACTCCAACAGGTGCGACTTATCAAATGACATACTTGTGATTTAGTTTTCTTGTCACGGGTAAGGCGGGCGGACCGCAGTGAGGACTGCGGACGGGGCTGTGGGTCTGGCCGGCCGGCCTCACCGCTCGCGTTTGCATTTTGCAGAAAGGCCCCCGCCCCCGGCGTTCGACAGCGAGTACTGCCCGGAGCCGCTGACGGTGGAGGTGCAGGTGCAGCTGGTGCAGAGCCGCTCGGCCGGCGAGGCGCTGCGCGCGTCCGCCATGTACCGGGCAGTAAAGGCGGCTCCGCGCACGCGCCTCGCTCTGTCCGCGCGCTGGGGGCGAGCGCGCGCGCGGGGGGGCAGGCGCGGGCGGGCCGGGAGCGCTTCGCGCGGGCCGCAAAGCCCGGGTCGGCGGCACGGCGGGGCGCGGGGCGCGTGACACGGGGATCCCGTGGCGGCACCGTGCGGGCGGGCGCATGCGGGCCGCACCCCAGCGCCGTCCGTGGTCCCGCGCGGCGAGACCGCCGCCGCCCGCACCGCTGCCTATATCCCGCCTGGCGCGCGCGGCAGCTCCCGCGCTGCTCCCGCCCAGCGCCGGCCGCGTGGCGCCCAGGTAGGTCCGCGGGCGGGTCGCGCGCGCGTGGGCGGACCGTGTCACCCGCGCGGGAGGGAGGACCCGCTGCCCGGCCGCCGGCCCGCCGGGGTCCGCCTCTCGGCTCGGTCCGCGGCGGGGCAGAAGCCCACGTCGTGCTCCCGCCAGCTGCCGCGTTCCTCGCGGCGTCGCTCCTTGCTCGGCCACCGCGGACCCTGTCGGCCCCAACGGCCCTCTGGACACGCGGGTCGAAGAAGGAAGCGGACCTCGGCTCTTTCCCGCGTCACACGTGTCGGCACGAGTCCTGGCCGATCTGTCGGCCCAGGACAGCGCAGCTCCTGACCCCGCGCCCCTGCGCGGCCTCGCCGCCAGCGCAGCGCCCGACAGCCGCGGGAGCGGGCGGGGAAGGGAAGGCCGGCGGAGTGTTGGGGTGCGGGAGGCCGGCTGGAGCGGTGGGGTCGGGAGGCAGGCGGCTGCGGGAGGCGCGGGGGGGCGCGGCAGGCCGTGGGCTGCGGGGACGGAAGGCGGCGGCGAGCGGGTCGGCGGGGAGCCGGTGGGGCGGAGGGCGGCGGGGGTGGTGTGCGGAAAGGGCCGCGTGGAGACGGGTGGGGGCGCGGTGAGCGCGTGGAGCGGTGGGCGGCGAAGGGCCGCTGGAGCGGGCTGCGGCGGATGCGGCGTGGAGCCGGGTGGGGCGCGGGAAGGGCCGGCGTGGAGCCGGGTGGGCGCAGGGCAGGCCGGTCGGGAGCCGCGGGCGCGGAAGGGCCGGCGGGCCGCACCGCGGTCCGCGCACCTGAGCGCGGTCCGACCGGAACACCGCACGCGCCCGGTGCCGCGTCCGGGCAAGAGCAGTCTGCAGCAATGGGAGACGCCGACGGCCTTAGCTCAGCGGCGCCAGCGGCGGCGTTTCCAAAAAACGCGAATTCTTTCACTGCTTCTGCCAGAGCCCCGTGGGGTTGGCCCTCGAGTGCAGCCCGCTCCCCGGCTCTCCCGCAGCCCCTTCCGCCGTCCCCTTGTCTCCGGCGCTCCGCGCGGCGCCGAGCTCGCCCTCCTCGAGGTCCCAGCCCGGTCGTCCCTGTCCCGTCTGTCTGTCAGGCTGTCCCTGTCCCCGTTCAGTCCCTGTCCCGTTCAAGTCCTGTCCCGTTCAGTCCTGCCCGGTCCTGTCGTCCTTAGTCCTTCCGTTCATCCTGTCCGTTCTCTGTCCCGTCTGTCCCTGTCCCCGGTCTGTCCCTGTCCCCGGTCTGTCCCTGCTCACACGTCCCTCTGCCAAGGAGGGTGTTTGTTGTTAACCAACCCGGCGACAGTGACTTCGGGTCGCTTCATTCCGTTACCCGCCCTAACCTGCGCACGCCGGCTGGTCCCTCTCCTCCGGGAGGGCAGTGACCTGTCGTGCCACTACGTCCCGCACCTGGCAGAGTTGCTTTCCTGGCGGCAGCGGTGGGGACAGCTTGTGCGGTAGACTGGTTAGTAGTGAAGGGGTGAGGGAGGGGGCGGGGAGAGGACACTGGAGGGACGAAAATGGCAAGGTGGGACACTGACACCTGGCTTTGTCACTGTGGACCTTGGGCAGGTTCCCCTGCTGGATTCTGTGTCCTTGTCCTTCTCTTGGGGTCGCTGAGGGACCTGGTGGGAGAAGTCAGCACTGTGCACGGGGCGGGAAGAGGGGGTGCAGGGCGGCCTGGGGAGCCACCTCTGGTGCCAGTCGCCAGCTCTCCTGACCCTGCCCTTTGGTGTGTGGTTTTGTCTCAAAGCCCAGTTAACCGACTCCTCCTCCCCCGCAAACCCGAGCACTGCAGGCAGGTGTGAAGGGGGTGGTGGTCTCTGGTGGCCGTGGCCACCTGTGCCCTGCAGTGCTGGGTGACCCCGTAAGCGAAGTGCCACCCCGTAAGCGCAGCGCCTGTGGCCCGGTCGTCTCCACGACACCCAACAGCCTGCTGCAGACGCACCAGGCAGTCGCCACACCTTTTTCGTTTTAAATGATTTGACTTCAGACTTCAAGAACCGCGAGCATCAGGTTTCCTGAGTGAATTTCGTCCACAGCTAACCTAAGTCTGCGCAGGTTTCACTGTTTTCACTCAAACTCGTCAGGTATTTGAGTTTCTCAGAAAGGCTAAGAATTCGCGTGGCGTCTCAGCTTTGAGGCGAGGGCTGGCAGGCGTGCTTGCTCTGTCCTCTGTCCTCCGAGGCAGGGACTCTGGAGAGAGCCAGAGGACAGCCGAGAATACAAGGAAGTCCCGGCGGCCAGCAGGGTCTTAGCTGCTGGGTTGAGGGAACTCTCGCTCAGCTCAGCCGTGGGGACAGGGACCCGGTTGGGGAGGGCGGTGGGGCAGGGCCCTGCTGAGGCGCTGTCTCCCTGCAGGGCCCGCGATGCTGCGCAGGCTGGCCCGGCTGCTCCCGTGCAGCCTGGCGCTGCTGCTGCTCAGCGGCCTGCTCTTCCTGCGCAAGGAGGCAAAGCCGGCAGGGGACCCCTCGGCCCCCCAGCCCTTCTGGGCTCCCCCAGGGCCCCGCCGCAGCCAGTGTCCGCCCAACCGCACAGGGGCTAATGCCTCCCTGTCCCTGCCTAGCCGTCACCGTCTCTTCTTGACCTATCGCCACTGCCGAAACTTCTCCATCTTGTTGGAGCCTTCTGGCTGCTCCAAGGACACCTTCCTGCTCCTGGCCATCAAGTCACAGCCTGGTCACGTGGAGCGGCGTGCGGCCATCCGCAGCACATGGGGCCGGGCCAGGGGCTGGGCCAGGGGCCGGGTGCTGAAGCTGGTGTTCCTCCTGGGGGTGGCAGCACCCCCGCCCCCCGCCCAGCTGCTGGCCTACGAGAGTGGGGAGTTCGATGACATCCTGCAGTGGGACTTTGCAGAGGACTTCTTCAACCTGACGCTCAAGGAGCTGCACCTGCAGCGCTGGGTGGCAGCTGCCTGCCCCCAGGCCCACTTCATGCTAAAGGGGGATGATGATGTCTTTGTCCACGTCCCCAATGTGTTAGAGTTCCTGGACAGCTGGGACCCAGCCCAGGACCTCTTGGTTGGAGATGTCATCCGCCAGGCCCTGCCCAACAGGAACACCAAGGTCAAATACTTCATCCCGCCCTCCATGTACAGAGCCCGCCACTACCCACCCTACGCTGGGGGTGGAGGGTATGTCATGTCCAGAGCCACCGTGCGACGCCTCCAAGCAGCCGTGGAAGAGGCGGAGCTCTTCCCCATCGATGACGTCTTTGTGGGCATGTGCCTGAGGAAGCTGGGCGTGAGCCCCACGCACCACGCCGGCTTCAAGACGTTCGGGATACGACAGCCTCTGGACCCCTGCCTGTACAGAGGGCTCCTGCTGGTGCACCGCCTCAGCCCCCTGGAGCTGTGGACCATGTGGGCACTGGTGACAGATGAGGGGCTCAAGTGTGCAGCTGTCCACAGACCCCCGCTCTGAGGGGGGTGGGGTGAGCAACAGCCCAAGACTGAACTCATGTTGATTTTCTATCTGCCTCCCGCTGGTCCGCAGGAAATGCTGACACTGTTTTTGTAATCTCCCACCCCCGTTAGCGCTGATTAAAGACGGTGCCCTGGCTGACGTGTCCGGCGCGTGTTGAATGGGAGCAGGCATGGCCGACACGGCCACCTCCACGGGGCGAGGCTGGGGCTCTGGCAGGCTGTGGTCTGAGGGGGAGGCTGCACAGGTCCCCAGAAGACATACACGTTTTCATTTTTTAAATGCAAAAAAAATTTATTCTTTTCCTTTAGATACAACAGACAAACTCGAAAGAAGGAAACGAGAGGCATGTGTTAGAACAGTCCCGTTGAGAGCACCAGGTAAACACTCTGCATTCGTTCCCTTCACGGCAACACTTTTGACTCCTTGCAGGGCAGCGGCCCGATCGGAGAAGGAATTGGAAACACTTGGAAATCCTACTAACCAGCTGGGCTCCCCTTGCCCCCCAAATTCACAGCCCTTCAAAGGGAGCAAATACTAAATCAGATTTGAAAATGTGAATAAGATTAAAAACTGAGGCTAAACAGCTACTGAACCTAAGGGCATGACAAAAAGGACCCCTTCTCTCTGGCCCAGGTTGGCCTATGCTTTGAGTGTGAGGTAAGAACATCAGCGGGCGAGAGAGCAGCTGTACGGAGTGGGGCGAGATGCTAAAAGAGGGTGCAGTACCCAGAACCTGGTCCAGTGCAAGCCTGAGACCGCAGCGGGAGGGGCTGGGCACTGGGCTCAGCGGCCTCTCAGCTGATTGGCCAGGGCAGGACCTGCCGCCTCTTTCCTGCGCAGAGTTGCGCCAACCCTGGGCAGGATAGCGTCCGCCCTTGCTTTCCCCACTGAGTGGGCAGACAGGGCAGTGGGGCGGGCCCTCAATCCTCTCGCAGGTACGCCTCCGGCTCCGGCTCCGCCCTCTCGTCCCCTTCCTCCTGTGCTTTCTGCCGGACCTCTTCTGTCTGCGCTTCTGCCAGCTTGGTTTCTGCTTTCTGCGAGAGCTGGCGCACCTCCTGCACCTGCAGCTTCACCAGCTGAACGTGGTTCCTGGCGGTTACACAGGCCTGATCTGCCCCTGCCGAAAGACGGGACCATTGAGCTGAGCCCACCACCAGGGTAGAAGGGGCACACATAGACACAGGAAAGCCTGGGCGCTGTGCTTGTCATCTGAGCCTTCTTGGGGTCAGGTTCCCTGGAGTGGGGAACCTTCTACCTCAACGTCCAGGTCTGCATTTAACTAACCGACACTTTATTGCCAAAAACCCCAGTACTTTTCTTCAGCTGTCGGGAGCTAACGTCCCAAGTACTAAATGCAACTCCCACAATCATCTTTATGGCTGTATAGCTCTTGCCACAGAACTTTTATCAATTTAGCTACACAAGTCATACTTTTTGACTAATTAAGAGATCAGTAATAAAACTTTCAAAGATCCCTTTCATTACCCTAATCTTCAGAGATAACCTCTTTTGGGAGTTTAGAAGCATTTTTTTCATTTTTCAAATGTAACTCTCGCGCTTGCTTGCTCTCTATATATAAAATGCAGAAAAATATTTTATCATAAATTTATGACAGCATAAAATATATTTATTGACCATATTTTTAAACTTTTTAAATGAAAAAAAAGTTCTGAGCCTCTACCATTTTACTTGCTGCTAGTGTATTTCATCATATGGATATGTGCAGTAGTTCATCTACAGAACACTTGGATTGTTCTTTTCTATCTTTGTGTTGACAGGGAGTGGGGAATAGTAGGCATCCTCCTCTTTGGCTATCATGAAATTGTTTTTCATGTTAAGTCTCTCTTCATAAATGTACTTAGCTGTTTTTTGTTTTTTTTTTTTAAAGATGTGGGTCTCTGTCACCCAGGCTGGAGTGCAGTGGTACTGTCAGAGCTCACTGCAGCCTCCATCTCCTGGGCTCAAGCAATCCTCCTGCCTCAGTTTTCAGAGTAGCTGGGACTACAGGCATGGGCCACCACTCCCAGTTAACTGTCCTTAGATTTAAGTGAGTATTACATTTTATTGAAGGCGTTTGGGGCATTCTCTTCAATCTCAAGTAGTGAATTATGTTATTTTTTAATGTTGAACTATCATTGTATTTTGAGAGTAAATGGCTACATTTCGTTTAGTAGTTTCATTTCTCAGCGTGTTGGTACTGCCCTAGTCCAGTTTGGGACCAGGCTTCCTACAGTTACAATAGGAGGTTTGTCATTTCTATACACTGATACACTTGCTGTAATGTAGGAATTATGGCTTTTAAAGATTTGATAAAACTCTCCCAACAAAACAGCCTGGGCTTGGTATCCATTTTGGGGGCATAAAAAAATCTTTGAATACCATTTCAAATTTTATGGTTATTAGTCTTATATAGATTCTTTACTTAGCCAATTTGGGACTTACATAAAGGTCATAATATTCACATAATTAAAAAAAAAAACTGGGCCACCCCCGCACCACTCAGCCCAGCCCAGGCTGCCGGCTTGGCGGAACCGTGGGGCTCTATTTCAATATGGGGACTCAGCAGAGATTCCCCGCCCTTTCGGCCTCGGTTTGTGCTTCTGCAAAGTGGCACCATGGTGCTGTGTGCTGCCCTGGTGGCCACTCTCAGCCCCATGCCTTCTGGTTTTGTTCTGAAGGTCACTGGGGCCTGGAACTCAGTGTCCTGTCAGAGATGGCTACTTCTCTCCCCTCCCCTCCTTCCCTTTTCCTCTTCCTTCCATCCTCATGTCCCTCCCTCTCTTCTCCCTTTACCTCTCTTGCTACCGGTTAAGCAGAGGACTTGATTTGATTTCAGGTCTCTTCTCTCCAAAGAGACCTGCTGTCCTGTGCACTGGGCATCGGCCACGCTGTCCCAGACCCTGCCCTCTGTCCCCCACCTTTGTCTTGATGGTTGGAAACTCCAACTCATCATCCTTACCACCCCCCAACAAGCTACCTCTTCTCCAGTGCCCCTTTCGTCCCACCATCCCAAGAGGGGACAGAACCTTGGGGCTTCCGAGTGCCACCCAGATGGGGCTTCCTGCCACCCATGTCAGAGTCCTGGGGAATTGTTAAAGGGGTGCATCCCAGGCCCTGCTCCAGCCCACTGATGCAAAGGGACGAGTGTGCATTTTTAGCAAGTGTCCTGGGAGATGCTGAACTTTGAGAGCTGCTGTTCAAAGATATCTGTGGCCCCTGGAAGGGAATGAACCTCTGATATGGGTGTGACAATATGCTGGTGAGGTTTTAGACTATTTGTGACCAGATCTAAATGGGAGCCCAGTTCTTTCAAAACTAATTTTTCCTTTCTCATAAAGTATATACAGGTGGGTAAGTTTTCTGAGTCTCTATATGTCTTAAATTTTAATGATAGCTGGATAGAAAATTTTAGGTTTTGTCTAGTGTTGCTGATAATGGGAGCCCACATGTCTTACTGTGGCATGTAACAATGTCTAATGTTATGCCCTGTCTAGCTTTCTTTCCCAACGTGAAAACTTTTAGAAAGTTTTAAATTTTGTTATGTTCTTTCAAAACTAATTTTTCCTTTCTCATAAAGTATATAGCAGGCGAGTCTCCAACCCTTTGTAAGTGGTGTAGGGGCTCAGAGGAGGAGGAGGGGAAAAAATATATCCTTATCTTTAATGACCCTTTCTGATGTCATTCTTGCTCTCTCTAAAAAAAAAAAAGGTCACTTGCCAAATCTGCGCCTAATTTTCAGTCTTTTCAAGGAAACAGATTTTGCCTTTTTGATTAACCTTTTCTACTTAATTTCTTCCTGTAACTTTTATCTTTTTTAGTTTTTGTTCTGCTTTTTTCAATTTATTTTGCTTTTTATAACTTAGTTAAAAGTTGGCAGCGGAGGTGGGAGGATTGCTTGAGGCCAGGAGTTTGAGACCAGCCCCAGGCAACACAGCAAGGTACAATGTATACAAAAAAATTAAAAATTAGCCAGGCATGGTGGGGTATACCTATAGTTCTAGCTACTTAGGAGACTAAGGTGGGAGGATCAGCTAGCGTCCAGGAGGTAAAGGTTACAGAGAGCTATGACCGGGCCAGTGGACTGCAGCCTGGGTGAACACAGCATGATCCTGTCTCTTAAAAAATAAAAAAAAATATGTTTTTAAATTTTATAGATGTAAGGAATTTTTTTGGTGGTGGCTTTTTGAAGGTTGGTGAATGTAGTCTATCAACTCTTTACCCCTTTGTACTTGGATGTCAAGTGTGACTCGACATGGTTAACAAAAATTATAGAGATTAAAATTACTCTTTGAATGTATCAATAATTTGAAATATAAAAAAATCCAAATAAGTTTATATGAAAAGAAATTCTAGTTTTTTATTCTACTGCTGCGCTTTGTAAAATCTGGGGTATTTAAAAAATTAAATCCAGAGTAGAATAAAAGAACTGAGAAAAAAGCAAGCGAGTGCAAAGGGTTAAAGGATTTGGTTGTCTTCCTTTGTCACCTGGCACAAAGTCAAATTTTTAATGGTTTTGTATCTTATAAGAGTATGTATTTTGTGGAGGAGGGAACAAAGTTTTACATTCAGTTATATATTTGGTCAAGGCTTTAGAAATTATTCTGTCCCAATCTTTAATATTTTTGGTCTTCCTGACCTGTGAGCCACTGAGGTATGTATAAAATTGAATTTCTCCTTGTAATTCCATCAGTTTTTGCCTTATCGGGTAAATGATTGATACTGTCGTGACGAATTGTCCTATTTATTGCTTTTTGGCTTGAATCTTTTCTCTGGTTTCTGACATTGCTCTATGAGTTCTGGGTAGCTTTTATTCAGTATCTTTTTATAATTTTCCAGTTTTTGCTAGAGTAATTTTTTTGAACACAATCTACAAGTGTCATTTAATAAGTCTATTGTAATTATTGATGTTTGAAATTATTTCTCTATTTTTATTTTATATTTTCTAATTGACAGGCTTTATGTCTTTTTAAACCTCAACTGAATCCCCTGCTCCAGCCCACTGATGCAAAGGGACGAGTGTGCATTTTTAGCAAGTGTCCTGGGAGATGCTGAACTTTGAGAGCTGCTGTTCAAAGATATCTGTGGCCCCTGGAAGGGAATGAACCTCTGATATGGGTGTGACAATATGCTGGTGAGGTTTTAGACTATTTGTGACCAGATCTAAATGGGAGCCCAGTTCTTTCAAAACTAATTTTTCCTTTCTCATAAAGTATATACAGGTGGGTAAGTTTTCTGAGTCTCTATATGTCTTAAATTTTAATGATAGCTGGATAGAAAATTTTAGGTTTTGTCTAGTGTTGCTGATAAGAAGACTGATGTCTAATTCTACCTTTTTGTTAGGTAATCTATTTTTTTTACTTTCAGTAGCTTATAGCATTTATTCTCTGAATTTTAAACTGTTTTAAACTGTTCAGAACTTTTGTGAGCCTTTTTAATCAGTTCTGGGGAAAAATGTCTCTTTTTTTCAGATAATGCTTATAACATCCCTCTCGCTGCACCTTCCAGCTCTAAGGCTGCCTGCGCAGGTGGTGAGCGGCGCCCTCGGCGCTCCCCGTGCACTGCGCCTGGAGACCCTGCGGGCACGTGGCGGGCGCTCGTGCTGCTGCACGCTCACTGTTGTTTCACTCTTTGTCCCAATCCTATTTTGAGAATCTCTGATTCTTTAGGTTTTAGTTAACTAAGAATTCTTTTGTTTTTCAGTATGGTTATTTACTTTTAAAAAATCATTTTTAAGATTTGCTGCTAGAGATCTTAGTTTATCTTGAAATCAGGAAACAAAAACAAAAGTACTTTAACATACCAGTTTCTTAGTAAGAGCTGGTTCTAGGCTATTATTTCTCTGAGCCTACCTGTTTAGAACCAGTCAGGTATGATGTTTAAACTAGGGTTTTCCTCAAAATACATTCTAAAAAGCTACTCAGCTCAGGTACACTGAACAGATACTAATGTTCAGAAAACACTTTGGTGAATAAATAACTGCATTTTCTTTTTGGGGGCAGGAAGGGGCACAATGCCCAGGCTACCTGACGTATATACCACACCACGGCATCTTAGGTAAATTACTTAACCCATTTGTCCGCCAGTTTCATCTGTGAAGTAGGAATTTTATAAGGAACTGTGGGAATTAAATAGAGGGTGCATATGAAAGCCTGAAATAGTGGCAAAACCAGGACAGATTACTGAATATTTGTCTGACTATGATTCCAGGTCTCACTTTGTACAAAAGGTCCACAGGGTTTCATCCAACTCTGTCATTCTATGACTTAATGGTCTGGATTATAAAAAAATAAAATGATGACACTCTTGCCAAAATGATTGCCTCCAAATAGTTTAAACATTTTTCTAGATATTAGCAACCTAGCTTCTACTGGTCTGTTCTACATGGGTGCTCATTTTTCCTACTGTGCAAATAAAATGTTTAATACATTGGAAATAGGTAAAATTTCTCACAAAGAGCCACAACAGACCATTTAATATAAATCCCTCATTTTAGAACTAGATAAAAACTCAGATGGCATCTCCTTAACAAAAAACAAAACTTTAACCTACCAGTTTGGTACGCAGCTTCAGCTGCCATCTCTGAGAGACTAACTGCTGTCATCCAGGTGGTTTCTAGCTTCATGTATTCTTGTTGTTTTGAAGTCATCTGTATATTAAGCAAAATGCTTCAGACAACATGAAGAGGTTTAACACTTTTTTTGAGACAGTCTCACTTTGTTGCCCAGGCTAGAGTGAGTGCCATGGTGTCAGCCTCGCTCACAGCAACCTCAAACTCCTGGGCTCAAGCGATCCTACTGCCTCAAGCCTCCTGCGTAGCGGGGACTACAGGCATGCGCCACCATGCCCGGCTAACTTTTTCTATTTTTAGTTGGTCAATTAATTTCTATTTTTAGTAGAGAGAAACCTCGCTCAGGCTGGTTTCAAACTCCTGACCTCGAGGAATCTGCCCACCTCAGGCTCCCAGAGTGCTAGGATTACAGGCGTGAGCCATGACGCCCAGCTGGTTTAACACTTTTAAATGCATTTATTCAAAATAGGTTTACAGAATAGTTACTGGTTAGATTGGTTAGACTAAATTCAGTAATTTGGACACTACAATGAGGTAGGAAGGAACACTAATTCAGAAATGTCTAGGCCCGGCATGATGGCTCACGCCTATAATCCCAGCACTCTGGGAGGCTGAGGTGGGAGGAGCTCAGGATTTTGAGACCAGCCTGAGCAAGAGTCATGCCGTCTCTACTAAAAACAGAAAACATTAGCTGAGTGTGGTGGTGCGTGCCGGCAGTTCCAGCTACTTGGGAGGCTGAGGGAGGAGGATCGCTTGAGCCCAGGAGTTGGAGGTTGCAGTGAGCTATGAGGACACCACTGTACTCCACCCTGGGTGACAGAGCAAGACTCTAAGAAACAATAACAAAACAGAAATGTCTAGCAACTTTTTACTTACCTCAACTCTGGCTCCTATGATCACTTGCCACACTTCATCTTCCTCCTGTGAATTCATTTTCCCCAGTAAACTTGTATATTGTCGGTACAGAGAAATTAAGGTATAAACAGCCTATAAATATAAAATAAATAAGTCTGAGTAAAATATGAGGCATGTTAAGCTCAGTGAAATTTCCATCTCAAGGAGAGAAAGACCATCGCAGCAAACTGGCTCTTTAGTCCTCCTGCCTCCCTGGAGTTTTACTGTCATCATATGAAGTAGAGGCATCACTCCAGGACATTAGTTCCTCCCCTATAAGCTTTTCTTTTTAAAGCCTGTTAGCAATTCAGACACAGAAAAAGGACACAATGCAGAAGGAAAACTTGAAAGATTAAGAGAAAAGCTATTGGGAAATATAGGTACAATACATGTATAAATGAGACTCAAATAATTTTGATTCTGATTATCCACATGTTCTTTTTCTATTAGGATCACTGTTTTTTAAACAGTCCTCAAAAGCCTCTAGTGATGGACTTTGCACTCCTTTACCCCTAAGTGAACCTGATCAGCTTGCTTCCTGTTTTATATACTTGACAGACATATTTAAGATTTTTCTATTAGAAAGATTTTTGGAAAAAGTCTGAAAACCAGTTATTTAGATTAGGGCTCATTTTGGTAAAGGGCCAGAAAGTAAATAAATATTTTAGGCTTTGTGGGCCTTAGAGCCTCTGTTGAAACTATTCAAACAATACATAAACAAATGAGCCTGGATATGTTCTAATAAAATACAAACACAGGCTTTGGACTGGATTTGGTTGTGAGGCACAGTTTGCTGATTTCTGGTTTAAAAGATCAAGACTTAATAAGAGAAAACATACCTTAGTGTAGTCAGTGATAGCTTCAATCAATGCATATGTGGTCTGAGAGAGAAAGGTAGAGGTGCTATCTGTTACCAAAGACACGGCCCTCCTCATTAATGCATCATTACTGAGAGAATGAGGCTCCGCTTTCTGAAAGACAAACATTGTCACAGACAAAAAAACCATAATTCTCATGTTGCTTAGTGTTTCAAGCTGCAACTGCACTATACTTCTTTGGGTTAACTTTTCTTTAATGGCTTTATTTTGGCTATTTAGGACAGCATTGAGAAATAATTCCACAGTATGCTTTCTGCTTTTTCCTTACTTTCATTCTTTGTTCCCCAAAGCAAAGTATTTTCTTATATAAAATAAATGTGGCCAGGCGTGACGCTCATGCCTAAAATCCCAGCACTTTGGGAGGCTGAGGTGGGAGGAACACTCAAGGCCAAGAGTTTGACACCAGCCTGGGCAACATAGTGAGACTTCATCTCCACAAAAACAAAATAGAAAAATTAGCCGGGTGTGGTGGCATGTGCCTGCAGTACCACCTACGTAGGAGGCTGAGGTGGGAGGATTGTTTTGAGCCCAGGAGTTCAGGGTCACAGTCAGCTATGAGGGTGTGCCACTGTGCTCCAGCCGGGGCAACAGAGCAAGACTCTGCCTCTAAAAATAAAAATTTAAAAATAAAATGCTAGTAATTATAAATCAACGAATTCATGAGTTTATGATTCATTCATTAACATAGTGTTACATGCTTGAGATATAAAGATAAATAAGAGAGATTCTCTGTCCTCAAAGATTTCAGGCCAGTGCAGGGAGAGCAGGATGACGGGTGAACAGAGAACTAGGAAACCAAATGCAATCAAATATAACGGGAGCGGTGGTGGAAATCTATATGGGGTCTAGTGGGGGCACACATAAGGGAGTAATCAATCCTATGCTGAGTGATTAATAGCTCAGAAAAGGCTTCATAGATTTGAGGAGGATCAAGCTGAGTCTAAGAAAGTAAATGAGTGGATGAGAGAGGGTAATTCTGAACAGAATGAGCAATATCGTGGGGAGGAAGCACTCTTCACTCTCACTTCAGCTATTATGTTAGAAAAGACCAATATATAACTACCCCAAGAATTAAGGGACTGTGGCCATCTTGGGCAACTGTAATGACAGGTCATCCCCAGTCTGCCTTTTTCCTCAGCAGAGCATTTATTGCATCAGAATCAACAAAGAAATCAATTACTCTTAAGTTCTGTCTTATTTTTGCCGTTTAGAGTATAAACACCCCAAAGCATTGCATGTTGAAAACAGCAGTCAAGAAATAGTTTTCATACATGACCAAACCAAGAATTTATCATATTTATGTTCAAATAATTATTAAGCATTCATTATGTACTTTGTACTGAAGGGCTACAAAAGGAAGAATGACATTATCTCTGCTCACAAGAAGCTAATCTTGACATAATATTCTAATAACTTACGTCTTCATGACGTACTACATTGTACAATACATTTTCTTTCCTTCCTCCTAACAGTCCATTTATTATCACTTCTTTTTTTACAGATGATAACATGGAAGCTCAGAGTAGTTATGCAATTTTCCCAAAAGGTCATACATCTAAACCTCAAACCAAATCTTCTCACTTCAAAGTCTGAACTCTTTCCATTGTGCTCTGCCGACTCAGGAGAGTGCCAGGGGGATTATCATCAAATATCAAAATATACAATATTAAGTGGCCAGAAAGATGGAGATGGCCAGGAAGTAAGTATACATGTACACAGGTAGGAAGGTAGTTAGGTAAGGTATTCATTCATTAACATAGTCTCACTCTCTCACCCCAGGTAGAGTGCAGTGGTATCATTATAGCTCGCAGCAACCTCAAACTCCTGGACTTAAGTGATCCTCCTGCCTCAGCCTCCTGAGTAGCTGGGACTACAGGTATGCCATGAGGCTTGGCTAATTTTTTTTATTTTTAGTAGAGATAGGTCTCCTTGCTCAGGTTGGTCTTGAACTCCTGAGCTCAAGCAATTCTCCTGTCTTGGCCTCCCAGAGTGCTAGGATTATATGCACCATCCACCACACCCAGTCAAAAAAAGGCTTTACAGAGAGGTGGGACTTGGTACAGGACGGCTAGGATTAGAATGCCAAGCATCCTAGGGAGAAAGAAACAATGAGGAGGAGAAAACATCTGTTGCATGCAGGGGATATCCAGGAATATACCCTGGTTAGAGCAGATGGCACAAGAGAGATGAGACTGACTAGGGAGAGATGAGAGTGACGAGGGCACTGGAGCGCAGGAGAATTAGATTATAGTTCTGTAACATCTAATGGAGAGCCACTGTCATGTTTTTTGTTTTTTTTTATTATTCTTATTTTTTGAGACAGAGTCTCACTTTGTTGCGCAGGCTAGAGGGAGTGCCGTGGCGTCAGCCTAGCTCACAGCAACCGCAAACTCCTGGGCTCAAGCAATCCTCCTGCCTCAGCCTCCCGAGTAGCTGGGACTACAGGCGTGCACCACCATGCCCAGCTAATTTTTTCTATGTATATTAGTTGGCCAATTAATTTGTTTCTATTTATAGTAGAGACGGGGTCTCGCTCTTGTTCAGGCTGGTTTCGAACTCCTGACCTCAAGCAATCCGCCCGCCTCGGCCTCCCAGAGTGCTAGGATTACAGGCATGAGCCACCGCGCCCGGCCCCAATGTTGGTTGTAAGGAATGGAAGTGGGATTGCTCCAGTCTGTAGCCCAGAACTGAGGTAATGAGGGCTTAAAAAGTAGTACATGAACTGAGAAAGGATATACCTAAAAAAATCTTTGGAAGGAAGAAAAGTTATCCTAATCATGGCTGAAAATGACCTGGTGTTCAAGTGAGGGTTTTGAACTGAAGATTCATCAACAAGGTACAACAGTCAATAGCATGTTAGAGTTCTGATAGCAGGGACGGGGGTGGGGAGGTGGGGGATGGATTCATCAACATGCAGACATGACAGCTGAAACGAGGCACAGGAAAGTGAGGCTCAGAACATGCTGAAAATACTTGTGGAATTAATCTCAATAAACACAGTAGCTGGAATATTTTGCTGAAATGGGGTTGGTGGTTTCCTATCTAGCTCTTCCCTGTAATGCATATAACACCAGTGATTTTTTTAAATGACTTTCATATTAACTGCCTGCTTGATAAGGTCCACCTAGATGTGTCCTAGACATCTTGGAAATGACATTTTGCAAACTGAACTCTTGATTTCTTCTTTTTAAAACTCACTCCTCTCTATCCCACTAAATGACAACTCCAATCTTTCAGTTGTTTAGGCCTTTAAAAGATCTTGGAGGCCGGGTACAGTGGCTCGCACCTGTAATTCTAGCACTCTGGGAGGCTGAAGGAGGAGGACTGCTTGAACTGAGGAGTTTGAGACCAGCCTGAGCAAGTGCGACCCCCGTCTCCACTAAAAATAGAAAAAATTAGGCAGGTGTGGTAGTGCACACCTGTAGTCCCAGCTACTTTGGAGGCTGGGGCAGGAGGATTGCTTGAGCTCAGGAGTTTGAGATTGTAGTGAGCTATGAGGACACCACTGCAGTTGGGTGACACAGTAAGACTCTGTCTCAAAAAAAAAAAAAAAAAAAAAAAGCCTGTAATCCTAGCATTCTGGGAGGCCGAGGCGGGCAGATCGATCAAGGTCAGGAGTTCAAAAGTAGCATGGGCAAGGGCGAGACCCCGTCTCTACTATAAATAGAAAAATTAATTGGCCAACTAATATATATAGAAAAAATTAGCTGGCCATGGTGGCGCATGCCTGTAGTCCCAGCTACTCGGGAGGCTGAGGCAAGAGGATCGCTTGAGCCCAGGAGATTGAGGTTGCTGTGAGCTAGGCTGATGCCATGGCACTCACTCTAGCCTGGGCAACAAAGCAAGACTCTGTCTCAAAAAAAAAAAAAAAAAAAAAATCTTGGAATCCAAGTTATATACCCCACATCCAATCCATCAGCAATTCCTGTTGGCCACATTTGGCTAACTACTCCCCTCCACTTCTGCTGCTTGCCACTATCACTGCATGCCTAGATTATAGCAACACCCTCCTTATTGGTCTTCCTAGATCCTCACAGCAACCTTTTAAAACTTAAAAATTTATGTCGGATCATAACAGTCCTGTGATAAAATACGTTGTGGCTTCTTTCTCAGAATAAAACCTAAAGCCTTACAGTGGCCCACAAAGCAGATGATTTGATTCTCAGTTAACTCTCTGGCCTCATCTATTACTGTCTCCCTCATTCCACTACAGCCACATTTTAGCTTCCTTGCAGCTCCTCAAACACAGCAGGCACATTCCTGCTTCTAGGTCTCTGCACTTCCAAGTTCTTTCTGCCTGGCAAGCTCTTCCCCTCACCAATGAGTATCATGGCTTACTCTTCTAGAACATTCAGTTCTCTAAACTTTAGCAGAGTGGCTCTTCTTGACCACCTTTAACTAAAACAAAAGCACCTCCTCACAGTTCTGTCTATTCCCTTATCCTATTTGTTTTCTTCACAGCACTTATTACCAACTGACAGTTTATATTTATTTTCTCCCCTTTCATTTCCTCAGAATGTTTTATGAGGGCAGAAATTTGTTTTTCTCACTCTTACATTCTCCGTGTATGACATGCTAAAGTTGCTCAATAAATTTTTGTTGAATAAAAGAGCATTTTATTGATTGTAATATGCTCTTCTCATTTCTCTATCCTTTATACAACTTGATGTATACAACTTGATGTGCTGTTCCTATTAAATGAGACAATCAACAGGAATATTAATATATCTGCTCAACTCTGGAAAGATACTGGTACAGCAGAAAGTATACCATCATGTGGGGAAGCGGTGGCAGCACTGGGTAAAACTATAGTAGCTTGTCCGAAGGCCCACTGCCCACTTGAGACTTCAAGAAAACACGGTACGCTAAGACAAGAAACCCTGCACGTAATAGTACCTTACCTGTGCAATAGGAACCGCACACAGGGTTACACCAAATCCAACCGCCACGGTTTTGTGCCATGGTCTTATCAATTCTGACAAGTAGCGCTTCTTAAAGTTAGCCACAACAGGAATACACCGTCTGTACCTAGAAACAGAAGTCAAATTTAATAAGGCACAACCCCCAATCTGTAACAGGCCCTTAGATTTATCTACAGGGATTGGAAACTCAAACTCGGGCCAAGCAGGAGTCTAAGTGAGGATGCAGGGGCAGCCTTCCAGATGACGAGGGCAGTGGGGGCAGAGTGGCCTGGAAAGCCACGTGACTCATTAAAGGCGCAGCCACTACTGAGCCCAGCGAACCATCAGAGTGGGAAAGCCAGCAAGTTTACTTATTTTTTTTTTATCTAGACAAGCTAAGGAAATTTAAACTGCTATCTCATAGCCTTTTAGAAATCCGATGCCACAATAAATGCTTCTGTAGGGAGGATTTAGCTCTCGAGGCCTGGCCCGCGTTCCAGGTGTGTCTGGCGGCGCTAAGACGGGAACGCCCCGTCGAGGTCCCCCTCCGCCCTCAGGAGGACATCCCCTAGCAATCCGCTCCCTTGCCCGGCCTCCCCGCGCGTCCCTCCCCGCCTCCATTCTCAGGAAGACTACGAGGGACAACGGGAGCTGGCCGGCAGGCTGAGCGGCCCCCAAAAGCAGCCCGGGACTTGGGGGACTCGTTTTAGAAGTTAGAAACTAACGAGAAAGGAACCCGGGGCTTGACGAGGGGGCGGGGCGGTCCTCGGACTGCTGAGCGGGGCGAGACGCTGCGGCCCGGCTCGGCCGACAAGGGAACAGCGCGCAGGCAAGGCGGTGCTGCGGCACCGGCCACCGCACTGTGCGTCGGTTCCTCCCCCCGGTCCTGCCCACCCACCTACGCGGCCGCATCGGTACCTGAAGAGGGAGGCTACGCCCCTAGACAGCCAACGCAGAGCCGCCATCCCGCGGAGGGCGGACGCCGGACGCACACGCCGGAAGTGACGCCACCTCGTGAGCAGGGGCGGGGCGCGACCTCCACCTGCGCAGATCGGGACTAATGGCCACGCCCCGACCCGAGGGTGCAGTTGGGATTGGCCAGACGGGGAGAGAGGAGGCGGAGCTTAGGGTAACGGCCGTAACGGGCGCGCTGGGGCCCCAACCGCCGCACCTTCGTCGCGGCGCGGGGCTGGGGGCCCGAAGGCGCGCAGCCGAGTCGGCCGTCGTGACGCCGGGCGCTGGGCTCGGGTCGGCCCGGGCGTGAGGCGGAGAGTCCTCTGGTTAGCCGTGCGCTGGCGGCGGGGCGGCGCGGGCTCGGCGCCCCGGGCGGCGGCGCCGGCGCTGTCACTTCAGCACCAGGAAGTAGGTGGTCCAGCCGGCCAGCAGCAGCGCGCCGACCAGCACGGTGTAGCTGAGCAGCACGAAGGCGAGCAGCTCCCGCAGCAGCTGCAGCACGTGCACGGTGGACGAGGCCGGCATCGCCCTGCGCGGGGAGGCCCCACACCCTGAGCGCGCGGAGACGGGCGCGGCCGGGCTGGCGCGTCCTAGGCAGGTCCCGGCCCTCAGCACAGGAACCGAGGCCGGCTTTCTCCGCGACCGCCACCTGGACGCCGCCCCCAGTTACACTGGAGAATCCCCCACACCAAAAGTCGCCCTCAGCCCCGGGCTCTGAGCGGAGCTCCGAGGAGACAGAAGCCTGGCTCTTCCCGCCCTGCCGCGCTGGTCTTGTCCCAGCCCTCTCCTCCCACCACCTCCTGCATTTTTAATGCTGCCAGTGCCGCTAATGGGCTGGGGGAGTGGTGGAGCTCGCTTTCCCATCACTCGAGCTGCAGCCCCAGCTGGGGCCCTGCCTGGGCGGGGAAGGGAAGAGAGACCCGCTTGGGCAGGGGGAGGCGCAGCCCTCCCTGCAGCTCCTCTGCAAGTCCCCTGGCCCCAAGACTCGCCAGTAGCAGAGTCTGAGGATGTTTGCTCTCTGGTGGACATGCTCGCCCTCTGGCCAGCCAGGAGTGCCAGGGTGGCAGCAACTTGATCCTGGGCTCATCATCCCCACGATGTTCCGCACCTGCCCCAGCCCTGCTAACTTCCACCAGACCCCATCAGACGGTAGGAGCCACAGGACGGCTCTAGCACCATTGCTGCCCTGCCCAGCGACCCCTCAGTGCCAGCCCCTAGCTTCCGTCTCTCCCGATTTCACTCACTTGGCAGTTTCCAAACTGCTCCACCGCCGGGCTCCGCCGGTCCTCTTGGGTCTGGTGCTCGAAGGTGGCTTGCGCGCACTCCGGCGAGCTGGCAGCGCTGAGAGATGATATTCAGGCAGCCGCCGCACTCAACAGCTAGGTGTGGCCTGGAGACCAATTACAACCTCTGTGCGGCCCCTGAGCTCTCAGGGAGCTGCGCACAGGCGATCCTGGGCCAGGCGGGGCACCAGCAACCCTGCCCACTCTCCGCCTGTGTCATCACCACAGATAAGAGGATTCGGCCGCGGTGTGCCAAGCTCCTGCCTTAGATGAGCCGAGCAGTAGGTACACAAGGGAGTATTTCAAGCCCCTTCTTGCCTTGCTTTGCTAAACACTGTAGGTGGGCTACAGTGAAAATGGTTCCTTTTCTAACAAACATCGAGACCAGTCCCAATCTACTCTGAGTCTGGACACCAGAACCATTGTACGAACGACTTGTGACCACTCAACTAATGCAAAAGCTGTCTTAAAAAACATGCAAGTGCGAGCATGCATGTGTGCGTGAGAACCAAGCTAAGAGACCCAAGAGCTCCCGAATGCTAGATTGTGATTTACACAGAGTTTAGCAGTTTAGACTCATTACACAGGCAGGCACCTTCCCAACATGCCCACTGCCAATTTCACCTCCTCCCAATGTTAGGCAAAAGGAGCCAGTTGGGATTTCTGCAAACTAAGAGACACTTTCCCAGATGTAGCAAGGAAAGAAATCACAAACTTTATGCTGCTTCAGATTATTTTGCTCATTGTAGTTTTTAGTTAAAGACTGTTTGTTGAAAAAGCAAGCAGCATGGACATCAACCCCTTTATCAACATCATCATCCAGAAACAAATGGCTCCTTAATTTAATCAGGATCTCTTATTATCAAATCATTGCCTCAGCTGCAGCCTGGCTGAAAACAGCAGCAGAACATTATCAAGCTGCTCAGGAAGCCAGGGAGTAGTAATTGCTCCCCCAGAGAATTGGTCATCTGAAGGGCTTCCGTGTCCTGCCTAGTCACAGGAAAGTATGGCTGAGATTTATACTCTCACCCAGCACCAAAATAATGGGTGAAACAGGCTATTAAAAATAGGCCTGGGCCGGGCGCGGTGGCTCACGCCTGTAATCCTAGCACTCTGGGAGGCTGAGGCGGGCGGATTGCTTGAGGTCAGGAGTTTGAAACCAGCCTGAGCAAGAGCAAGACCCCGTCTCTACTAAAAATATAAAGAAATTAATTGGCCGACCAATATATATATAAAATTAGCCGGGCATGGTGGCACATGCCTGTAGTCCCAGCTACTTGGGAGGCTGAGGCAGCAGGATTGCTTGAGCCCAGGAGTCTGAGGTTGCTGTGAGCTAGGCTGACACCATGGCACTCGCTCTAGCCTGGGCAACAAAGCAAGACTCTCTCTCAAAAAAAGAAAGAAAAAATAGGCCTGATTCTGTTCCCTTTTCTCTCTCTCATCCTTCAAATGGATGTCTCAAGGCAGTTACCTTCCAACCAGTTCAGACCTTCCAACCTCTTGTCACCACCCAATTTTGGGTATTTTACAACAACAGAGTAACTGAAACTAAGAATCACTACATGGATTGAAATTGACATGAACCCATTTCAAAATAAAAGATTCTTAGAAATTGTACATTACTATCTTTTTCTTTGTTGTCTGACAAAAAGGCATGCTCTATTTTCCATAGTATGTCCTCATTAAACCATACAACTGTGAATACATCAGACTCTACAGTGCGATTCAGTCTATTCACATGAGCTAGTCTATGTGATGTCTGCATTTCTTTGCCTGCCATCTTCCTCACAGCCCCTCTTCCTGTCTGCTTTAGAAACCCAGTGCATTTTAGTATTTTTAAAAAAGTATTTCTTCTTGAATTCAACTCTCCTGAATACAAACACTTTCTCCTGGTAGCAGGCTAATCTTTAATGTACAACTGAGAACAAGACACAGACCAGCATGTCATGATTAATCAGAGTTCATTTCCAATGAGAGCAGAGCTAGAATGGAATAGAACTCACACTGAGATCTTCCCAGTTCTCTCCAAGAATTAAATGTGCTCTTTTTAATGGTCCTTCTCTTTCAACCATTACTCTCTTGTTCCACAAACTACAAAATACTTATTTTTCTGTTGGCTAAAATTCAAAACTGTACAGTAAGACACAAAACAGTGTCTATGTAGACTCCTTTATTAAGCAGACTGCTGGTGTAGCAGAACTGTCTACACAACTAGACAAAAGTCCAGACATGATGTAAATAATCCACCCTCTCCAAGAATCAATGTACCATTCACATACCCTTTCTCAGTAAGGGTTTGAGACAAAGACTGCTTCAAGTATTAAATGAACTTACACAAAGGCGTATAATATATAATTATCTACCACCCTGTATTTACATACAAATGAAGCAATTGATGTTTTAAAGTCTGCTGAATGCATTTTTAGGAGCTGACCTGGCTATGCTCTGAGCAAGCAAGTATAGAGTCACAAGTGAATGTAGACACATGAGACTACAACTGAGTATCTGTTCACAGGACAAAAACCCCAGCCAAGGAGACTTGACCAGACTTGAATTGAATCCCATGAGCCAAAAACATTGGGGGACAAGGTGGATTTCATTCTCTGAAGCAGCTGAGGCTGACAACTGCTGGGGCTGGAAGGTATAAACTAATCTCCCTGGGATAACAAGTATTTGAAAAAGGATTTTCTAAAACAAGAATGGTTTTCTTTAAGACATTTTCAAATACTGACTGTCAAGGCCAAATTAAGTCCATGAGAAACAAATCTTTTAAATATTGCTCCTGCCACCCTTCCTGCTTATACTAAAGAAATTTTTTAAAAATATAGAATTTCTCTTTCACTCATAAGAATCCACTGATGAGAAAAGTGAGGAAAAACCATGTGTGGTTACCAAGTTACAACACAAACCACACCTGGTGGGACAGAGCAAAGCAGGGCACTAATTTTGCTGGAGACTTGGGCAGTGAAGCCATGACCTTGACTTGGTCTCCTTGGTTCCCCCAACTCCTCCAGACACTGGGATGGAGCAGGGGGGAAGCAAGCACACATGGTTCTCCAACTTCTCCACCAACAACCCTGCTCTCTACCACGGCCCGCCTGACAGATCCCTGCAGGAGCAGCAGCTGTGGCTGCTGGACTCCAATATCATCGATGAGATACACCAGAGAAGGCTGAGATCACAGACCAGGGACTGAAACAGCTTCGTGTTTTCAAGCAAAACAGATACAAGAGGCTGAGTACAGAGTGGCCGCAGGCTGCCAGAAAAGCACATGGGGTAGCTGCCACGGAGACGGAGTCAGAAGATGCTGAGGAAACAAGAGTAACCACTGCTCAGAGTGGGACCAGCTGGAAGTTGGGCCCATCATGGGCAGGAAAGAAAGTGGAAACCTCAGCGGAGGCACCAGCCTGGAGTTGATAACGCGTACACTAAAGGTCTCAGGAAGCTGCTGCTCCTCAACGATTACGTCGTTCGATGTAAAAAGCCCTGCATGAGTATGGAACCTACACAGATGGAGCCGATCAGACAGAGCATAAACTTTGTTTCTGGACAGGAAGCCCCCCTAAACCTTTTGCTTTGTAAGAAGGAGAAACAGAAAAACTTGCTTCAGTGATCAGTTAAGACATAGACTGGTGACCGTAAATATAATCTGCCATACTCTTCAGAAAAAGAAATTTCAACTCAGGGATAACATCATCTCTAGTTCCTGACATTTATCCACTGTCCTAGGCATGATGTGTCTTCAAGAAATACAGCACTGTGTATTAGATTTTGGACATTCTACTTTTATTTCCATTTTTTTCTTCCTCAGTCTCAGCTTTCTTATTTTAAGAACTGGCCTCCTTTGTGTGGCTGTATGGATTATCCACCCCAGCGTCCCTAATATACCTCCAGAAGCTTCTAACGAAGATCCTGGGCTTAGAAAACTCAAAACCAGTGTTTCTTTTACCCAGGTTGATTCTCTTCTATTCTTCCTTCTTCTAGAAATTAGGAACACAAAAGAGAAACAGAAAGGGGAAGACAGTAGTATAACTTAAGAAGCTGACTCCAAAGTGAATTCTGTATTCCTGTGTTTCTTCTATGGGTTTCACTTCATTTCAGCAACTTCTTCAAAAAGGCAGTTTATCCTGCAATACACTTGTTCTGTATCCTTTGAACACCCTAGAAAGGTTTCTCCATCAGAGCCTCTATCCAGCTGCTTCCGTTCATTAGTTTAGTGGTAGCAATTACATACTCTGTACCTCCATCTTCCAACTGCGAGAGAAATCGCAGGGCAGCAATTTCTGCAAAGGTTACACCCCCGAGGAAAAATATCAGAGTGACTCGGTTTTCTCCTGGTTGACCTAAAATTTAAATATTTCAGAATTACAAAAACTATTTATTCTTGGTATTTCTCTTCCTACCTCTTAAAACATTTTATCATTCATAGGAATAACAAAGTCAAACCTGTCTTAATATAGACAGTTCATTTGACACTCAGGCACACTGATTGTGATCTCAATGTTTTTTCTAATGCCTGAGACTCTCAACACAGAGGTTGAAAGCTGCTACTCCTGAGGAAACAGCATAGTCTTAGTGCTTACCCTATACATTAGCAGCCAACAAAGGAAGTATATCTGATTCTGACTCTCAAGTGCTTTACCAATGTATTTTGAAAAGCAACCGTACAACACATGAAAACCACACTCACGATACATAATTATCTGCAGATGCTGGACTGAGACTTACGTTTCTTTTGCAGTCCTGTGGGCAGGGGCTGCCGTTCTTCGAAGTGGGGCCCTGGGAGTATGCGGAGAACCTCCTCGATGCTACGCCAGCCAGGCCGGGACAGCAGCTGGGCCAGTCGCACACTGAGCGGTGCGTAACCACTATACACGTAAGATATGTCCGTGGGATTCTGTTAAATAATTAAACAAAAAAAGCGCCTGTGGATATAGAGACTTAGAGCCACCTGACTGTGGCCTTTTGAGTAATCCAGAGTTATTTGATTTGGATTTTAAGGCAGAAACACAACCCCCTCCCCCATGTCCTGCTCCAATCCACCGTAGCTGGGCTCTATTTTCAGTAGCCAGAGTACTCCATTTTTTTTTTTTTAAGAGACAGGGTCTTGTTGACACCCAGGCTGGACTGCAGTGGCCTGACCACAGATCACTACAACCTTGAACTCCTGGGCTCAAGCAGTCTTCCCCTCTCAGCCTCCCAAGTAGCTGGGACTATAGGCATGTACCACCACACCTGGCTAATTTTTTATTTTTATTTTTTGTAGAGATGAGGTCTGGCTATGTTGTCCAGGCTGCAGAGCTTCACTCTTGACTCAAATCTTGAAAAGCCACTCAAAGCAGCTCTAGGTACTGAAGATGAAAAACTGTCATTTGGTTTGGCAAGAAACTTCTCAGAGGGTAACCTGGCACTCTCTAGCTGAGCAACAATGTGTATAATCCTTGGACCCACCAATTCTATTTTTAGGCATTTATCCACCAGAGAAGACCAAAGTATAAACATAGTAACTATAACACTGCATAAAGACCAGACGCGGTGGCTCACACCTGTAATCCTAGCACTCTGGAAGGCCAAGGCTAGTGGATTGTTTGAGCTCAGGAGTCTGAGACTAGCCTGAGTAAGAGGGAGATGCTGTCTCTACTAAAAATAGAAATTAGCTGGACAACTAAAAATATACATCGCAAAAATTAGCCAGGCATGGTGGTGCAGGCCTGTAGACCCAGCTACTAGGGAGGCTGAGGCAGGAGGATCGCTTGAGCCCAGAGTTTGAAGTTGCTGTGAGCTAGGCTGACGCCACGGCACTCTAGCTTAGGCGACAGAGTGAGATTCTGTCTAAAAAAAAAAAAACAAAAACCAGAAAATAAGACTGCATATAATGACAAAAGACTGGAAACAACCTGAATTTCTATCAATAGGAATCTGTTAAATTATACAATAAGATAGAGCCTCAAAACTACTATGCAGCAATTAAAAAGAATCAAAAAGAATGGGGTGGATCATGGAAGGCTCTTCAAGATCCCTTGTTAAATGGCGGGTGGGTTTGGGGAAGGAAGGTCAGAGCAGTGAAGGCAGCTAAACTAATAATATTACCTACATGGTACAACACAGATATTAAGGGTCTCTATTTTTCCAATGGGGAAAAATAATCCAATTTGTGAATGATAGGAGACTGTCTAATCATTAGCTTTTGTTGCAAAAGGCAGCCTAATACAGTCCTGGATGAAAAATCAAAAAAGACAAGGCCAGGTGTGATGGCTCATGCCTGTGATCTCAGCTACTTGGGAGGCTGAGGCTGGAGGATTGCTTGAGCCCAGGAGTTTGAGGTTAAAGTGAGCTATGATGATGCCACTGCACTCTAGCCTGGACAACACAATAAGACCCTGTCTCAAAAAAAAAGAAAAGAAATTTAGAAACATTAGAATAAACAACAAAGGTAAAGCAAAGTGCACCCACATCAGAACACTGGAGACTGAAGGTAGATATGCACCCTTGTGTAAAAATGTCTGTATATGCACAGAATCTTTCTAAAAGGATAGATAAGACTGCTTAGCATAAAAACAAATGGAAAAACATATCATGTTCATGGATATGTAGAATCAACACTGTTAAAATGTCCATACTACCCAAAATGATTTACAAAATACAAATGCAATCCCCACTTAATTACCAAAGTCATACTTTACAGATCTAGAAAAAATAATTCTATGCTTTGTTTGGAACCAGAAAAGAGCCCAAATAGCCAAAGAAATCTTAGGCAAAAAGAACAAATCTTGAGGCATCACATTAACAGACTTCAAACTACACTACAAGGCTATAGTAACCAAAACAGCATGGCATTGGTACAAAAAGAGACATAGACCAATGGAACAGAGAACCCAGATATAAAACCATCTACCTATAACCAGCTGATCTTTGACAAAGCAGACAATAATGTATACTGGGGAAAAGAAGCCCTATTCAATAAATGGTGCTGGGAAAACTGGACAGCCACACGCAGAAGAATGAAACAGGACCCCTACCTCTCACCACTCACAAAAATTAATTCAAGATGAATAAAAGACTTAGATCCAAGCTACAAAACCATAAGAATTCTAGAGGAAAATGTAGGAAAAATTCTTCTAGATACTAGCCTAGGCAAAGAATTTATGACTAAGACCCCAATGGCATTCACAGCAACAAAAATTATTAATAAATGGGATTTGATTAAACTAACAAGCTTCTGCACAGCTAAGGAAAACAATCGCCAGAGCAAACAGACAACCTACAAAATGGCAGAAAATATTTGCAAGCTATACATCTGATAAAGGGCTAATAACCAAAATTTATTTACAAAGAACTCAAGCAAATCCTACTAAAAAGTGGGCAAAAGACACAAATAGAAGCTTCTCAAAAGAAGACAAATGGCCAATAAACATGAAAAAATACTCAATGTCACTAATCATCAGGGAAATGCAAATTATAACCACAATGAGATATCACCCCAGTTAGAATGGCTTTTATTAAAAAGTCTAAAAACAAGACATGCTGGCATGGGGTGCAGAAAGGAATGCTTATACACTGTTGGTGGGACTGCAAATTAGTACAACCTCTATGGAAAACAGTACAGAGATTCCTCAGAGAACTAAATGTAGACCTACCATTCAATCCAGCAATCCCACTATTGAGTATTTACCTAAAGGAAAAAAAGAGTTTCATCCAAAAGACACCTGCACTCAAATGTTTATTGTGGCATAATTGCAAAGGTGTGGAATCAACCCAAGTGCCCATCAATTCATGAGTGGATTAATAAAATGTGGTATATGTACACCGTGGGGTACTACTCAGCCATGAAAAACATGAACTGATACCTTTTGCAACAATCTGGATTGACCTGGAGACCATTATCCTAAGTGAAGTATCTCAAGAATGGAAAAACAAACACCATATGTATCCTCTATTAAACTGGAACTAACTGTGAGCACATGTGTGCACAGAGGGAAGTAAAACTCAGTGGAAAGCAACCAGGGGGGAGGGGAAAGGGGGAGAGAGGAAACCACCAACCTAATGGGTACTATGAACACCATTTGGGTGACGGGCACACCTATAGCTGGGACTTAAACAATACAAAAATGATCCATGCAACTTAAAACATGCATACCCCTTAATATTTTGAAATTAAGAAAAAAAGGATTCATCTTCTACAGCTATCTTAAAAAAAAAGAAAAAAAAAAAAAAGAAAAAAGAAAAAAAGGATAGATAGGGCACTGGTTACAGTGGCTGCCTCTGCAGGGAAACTGGCGTTGGCACGGAGGGAGGTCACTTGGCACTGTGTGCCGTGCTTTTGCGGGGCTGAACTGTTCAGTGTGCTGACATCTGCACTGGCTCCTCCAGACACTCTCTTCCCGCTCTCCACGATGCCCTGTGCCCAAAGGCGGACGTGGAGGCCCCCTACCAACGCTCTGGGGCCTCTGTTTGCATCTGCCCAAGGGAAGGCACCAGAAGGAGCTGGAGAGCGGGCAGTGGCCTGAGGCTGAGGTTTTCACTGCCCGGCTTCCTCTTGGTGACATTGCTGGAGGTCGGCCGTGCCCTCAATCAGAGGCCCCCAGCCCTCACCTGGTCAGATGGGCTCCCCACACACCCACACAGCTCTTCTCTCCAGATCCTAGGACGGGCATCTGGAATAACCCCCTCTCCTTGCCCTTCAGGTCTGGGCTGGTGAGGCGCCCTGAGCCCTGCTCACATCTTCTTCATTAAACCCTCAGCAAACCGCCCAGTTGAGAGTCAGTCTGCTTCCTGCTGGGACTCTGACGGATATGACACATTATTTTTTCAAAAACATTAGGAAATTATTTTTAGGAAGTAAGGCAGATGTAGCATATGTTGTCACAATAAACTATTTACCCAGGGACTCAACCGAGTGAAAGTAGGCGTGTCTTACTTGTTCGTTAACATCATCCATCCAGAGGCGTAACGTTTTCCGAATCGTTGGGTAGTTGTTTCTGCCACCCGTCTGTGGTTTCAGCAGCCCGGCCTTCTCCAGGTTGTACAAGGTCAAGATGTGCTCGTAGCCGTACGTCTGCAAGAGAAGTCGTTCGGCCTTGATGTCAGATCAGATCAGGAAAAGGGTTTCTGCGATTTAAAAAAAAAAAGGGCACTTCCAACAAATCAATTTGATCTGTACTCCAGGGCATGTTACCAAAGTCCAGCAATGACTGTTGATGGACACAGAGGATAGGGGAGAGGATGACATTTGTCCTAAAGTTGCCTGTTCATTTCTATCAATCTAGCACTTCTTCGTCTCAAAGAGAGATTCAAAATGTTTACTTTTAAGTCAGCATTTATAAGTGGGCATCAAATAAGTGACAGTAAATTTATAGATGAGATATAATTAGCTCTAAAAAAGAATGAGGTGTAACTATACCTCAAAAAGAAAGACCTTTTGGATATATTCTTAAGGTCAAAACCCAATAATAGAATACTATATATAGTAGGATTTGTTTCTGATAAAAAAGCAACTAGTCAAGAATAGTAGCCAACACTTATGTCATACTTCTCCGGGCAGGCACTGTTCTGGCCCGAAGCACTTTGGAGACATTCACTCGGCCATCCTGACTGTCACCCCCGAGGTAGGTACTATTATCTCCACATGTCACAGAGATGTTTAAACAACGTGCCCAAGGTTACACAGAGCATAGCTGAAACCTGGATCCGGTCAGTCTCGCTCCCAAGTCTCTGTATGTAAATTCCTTCCTCTGTACATACACACAAGGAAGGGGGTCTGGAAGGAAGGAAACCAACCTGCTGACAGTGGTTACATTTGGGGAGGGAAATGGGGACAAATGGGATAGAAGGGACATTCACATTTTGCCTCATATACTTCTGCATTATTTGAATATTTTTTTTTTTTAGAGACAGGGTCTCACTATATCGCCCAGGCTGGTCTTGAATTCCTGGACTCAAGCGATCCTCCCACCTCAGCCTCCCCAGTAGCTGGGACTACAGGTGTGTGCCACTACACTCAGCATTATTTGAATTGCATGAGAATGCATACTTAAAACAAGACCAAAAAAAATTAATGAGCACTTAATTTTAATAATAATGTATTTAGTAACAGCATTTATTCTTACATTTTCAAACAAAGGAGAGACATTTTCAGACAGAGTAGAGAATTTTTAAAGTAACAGTGAGTTTTTCCTCATTATAAAGTAATACAGGCTTAAATTAAGCAAGTCTGCTAAAGAAATGTTATCAGAAATTTGCAGAAAGTTCTATTCCTCCATCGCATAACTGCCTAGTAAAGAACATGGTGCTAGGCCCAGGTTGCCTGGGTTTTAGCACTAGCTCAGCCACTTACCAGCTGGGTGACCTCGGGTGAGTTACCCAACTAGTCTGTGCCTCAGGTTCTTCATCCATAAAATGAGGACAATAAGAGTATCTAACTCACAGGGCTGTTGTGAAGATTAAGCAAATGAATATACATACACAAAGCTCTTCCAATAGACCCTGGCACATAGTAAATGCTCAATAAATGCCAGCTATTATTATTATTATTACACAAATATGATAAACAACGAGAGATACCAAGAACAAATCCTCTAGGAGGATTAAAAAATTAAAAAGATAATGGTTAACAATACACCAAAATAGCAACTTTGTGAAGTGTTATTTTAAAAGATGCTTTCAATCGCTTCTCGGCCTTTTGGCTAAGATCGAGTGTAAAGATGCTTCCCCCACCCTTGGTGAATTAATAATTAAAACATATACTGACCTGGAGAATTTCTCTTTTGTAATAATCCAAGACTTTTTGTTTGAGTCCACTGTTACACACGGACTGGAGGCACACCAGCCTTAACACCTTGATCAATGGATGCTTTTGGGCAATACAATCCTCAATGTAATTGTTGACCTAGAAATAAGGTTGGATATGCAGACACTAAGTATCTGGTTTGGGGACTCAAAGAACTTGATGTTTACTATTATTTTTCAAAGTCAAATAAAGATGTGTGGGAGAACAGTTCGTTATTTTCACATTCCCGAACGCTTCCCTGAAATAACATCCCCATCCCTGACCCCACACACACACACCAGTAATCAGGCTGCATCCCTGGAGCCCAGGGCGGGTGAGGATACAACTAGCCAACCCGAATCCTGTCCTGACACGTCTGTCTCCATGGACAACTTTCTGACAAGCTGCCAAATGTCTGAGGCTTCTGGGGCCTGTGTAACCTAGTCTATTTCAATAATATCAGCACTTTAGCAAAAAGTAACAAGAATATTTTTATAAGTTAGGAACTTTCTTAAAGTGAATAAAACTTACTAATAGAGCTGGATATTTAAAGGAATTATACAAGAAATTCTCTCAAAAAAGCAAATATCTTAATTTATCTGTTACAATCCTTAAAGATCTTTGATGTCAGCTGATGGGTCTCATCTCACCAGAGATTACAGAAAGTGTCTTGCATAGAGTAATGTTAAATATCTGTTACTTGATAAAATCTGTATTTTCACATTTTGCATTTACTGTCAAAAATATTTAGGCAAGGCATATGAATCAAAACAATTGCTTTTCTAAATTCTTGTTTTATCAATTTATTTTTGAGACAGAGTCTTGCTCGGTCACCCCAGCTAGAGTACAGTGGCACCATCATAGCTCACTGGAACCTTGACCTCCTGGCTCAAGCGATCCTCCTGCCTCAGCCTCCTGAATAGATGGGACTACAGGGATGCACCACCATGCCCGGCTAATTTTTCTGTTTTTTTGTAGAGATGGGGTCTTGCTCAGGATGGTCTCAAACTCCTGAGCTCAAGAAATCCTCCTACCTTGCCTCCCAGAATGCTAGGATTATAGGTGTGAGCCACTGCATCCCAACTATAATCTTATGTTTGATAAACTTTCAACTATTTGTTAAAAGAGTTTTTTGCCACATACCTTATCAGTGTCTATTCCAGACATAAACTCCTGTTCCACTGTTAATTTGTCAAAGAAGTCTTCCGAAGCTAAAAGGTAATGGGCAAATTTGCAAGTTAGAAATTAAATGTCAATTTATTTAAATGGTGCTGTGTTTTTATATACACAGCATGATTAAGAAATAAGACATGCAAAAAATTCTGGACAAAGTATCAACTAAAAACAGGAAAATTAAAACAGAAGAGAAAAAAAGAGAAACAAGACATGCAACAAAAAAAAAGCAAGCAACAGTTCGAATCACCACCTGAAGAGAATCTTCTACAAAACATGGAAAACCCTAGAACTCTGTACTCCTAAATTACATTCAGCCGACTACTGTACTCCTTTATATCCTTAGAATTTAAATACAGACCCCAGAACTTTGCAGAATGAGCCTCAGTGTCAATGAAAGCTCCATTGCCCAAGAACAGCCACCTTCATCATCAGATTCAACCTAGTTTCAGTTGATTTCCACTTCCATTCACAGGAAAAACCAAAGGACTGCTTTTCCAACACTGTGTTTTATTTATGATTTGAAGTATACTTCATGAAACAGGGCCCCAAACAATCTCCTACTCAGCTTTTACAGCCCTGTAGTGTTTTGTTTGTTTTTAAAAAATTGTTTTCTTTTTTTAAAAAAGGGTAGGATGTTGTGGGGAGGGGTGCTCAGCTGCCTTATTTTTTTGTTGTTGAGACAGAGTCTCACTTTCGCCCTGGATGGAGTGCCATGGTGTCACCGTAGCTCACTGCAACCTCCAACTCCTAGGCTCTAAGCAATGCTGCCTCAGCCTCCCGGGGAGCTGGGACCACAGGCATGCACCACAACGCCTGGCTGGGTTTTTTTTTTTTTCCTTTCTTTATTTATGGTAGAGACAGGGTCTCACTCTTGCTCAGCCTGGTCTCGAACTCCTGAGCTCAAGCAATCCTCCCGCCTCTGCCTCCCAGAGGGCTGGGATTACAGGCATGCGCCACCATGCCCGGCCAGCAGCCTGTGTTTTAATGAAGAAACTCATGTTTGGTTTAATAGACATCTAAGCCTTTTCAAAATTTTCAACATATGTTCTTGGTACCAATTCTACAGAAAGTTTTAAAGGGAAAAATAAACAGAAACGTCACATTGCTCCAGGTAAGTCATCCTCCACAAGAGGAAAACAACTGGACTACAAAAGTTAACTACCTCATGTTGTAACGGCAAACATGTGGGTCAATTTCTTCCTCCTAAATGCATTCCACATATTGTCATATGCTTAACAACGAAAAAACTGAGCTAAGCACAAATGGAACATTCCTAACAATGTTAACGTGCGTACACTTACTTAACGTTGAGAACGATACATGGTATTAAACTAGAGCTGCCTCTCCCAAGGAGGCATCACGGTGCTGACGACAGTGGTGCCGGACGCTGTGTCCCGCTCAGCCCCAGACGGACACGGTCATTCCAAAGGATACTCACTAGTGACGTCTTTGATTAACTCTGCGATCGAGGTGTGGTTCGCGAGGGAGCCCCGTGCGGCCTGCATGTGCGGCAGCTGGGAAACAAACTGCTTGATCTCCCCGACTGTTTTCGCGTTGTGCCTTTCCTGGAAGAGACGAGAGCAGCACGTCAGCAGGAAGATACTTTATTTTTAGGTGCTCTGCTCCTTGTATTGTGCAGAGGATATTTGATTTCTATTAATGTGAAAGAAAGGATGGAATACAAATAAATCGGGCCAAACCCAGCTCCCAGATGACACAGAAAACCAGAAAAGATGGTGCATCACTAGAGGCAGTGCTCACGGAACCTGCCTCCGAATCAGCTCTTCCGTAGAGAGCAAAGGCCTAAGAGCTGCTGTTCCTACACACCAGCTCACACTGTGTCAGTACTGTGTGGACATGTGAGTATCAGTGGACAGTATTAGGGAGACCATACACATCTCTGAATAAAATACTAAGACAAAAAATTATGCTTACAAGGGGACATGCACACCAAAGAACTTCCTGTGTATAACAGAAGAAAATCCACTCTTTCTACTGAACCTCAGTCTTTGTTTTTTTTTTTTTTTTGAGACAGAGTCTCGCTTTGTGCCCAGGCCTAAGTGAGTGCCCTGGCGTCAGCCTAGCTCACAGCACCTCAACTCCTGGGCTCAAGCGATCCTTCCGCCTCAGAATCCCGAGTAGCTGGGACTACAGGCATGTGCCACCATGCCCAGCTAATTTTGTCTATATATATTAGTTGGCCAATTAATTTCTTTCTATTTATTAGAGGCGTATCGCTCTTGCTCAGGCTGGTCTTGAACTCCTGACTTCGAGCAATCCGCCCGCCTCGGCCTCCCAGAGTGCTAGGATTATAGGCATTGAACCCCAGTCTTGAGCATCCTCCATGAGCAAAGTGAACCCAGCTTAGTGTGAGAATATGTTTTGGCAAAGTTTAATAATTTAAACCAAAAGTGACTTCAGAAATATGAACATTAATTTTTTTTTTAATTAACTTATTTTTTGACACAGAGTCTCACTTTGCTGCTCAGGCTAGAGTGAGTGCTGTGGCATCAGCCTAGCTCACAGCAACCCAGACTGGCTCAAGCAACCTCCTGCCTCAGCCTCCCACGTAGCTGGGATTATAGTCATGTGCCACCATGCCCGGCTAATTTTTTCTATATATATAAGTTGGCCAATTAATTTCTTTCTATTTATAGTAGAGACGGGGTCTCACTCTTGCTCAGGCTGGTCTCGAACGAACTCCTGACCTCGAGCCATCTGCCCGCCTCGGCCTCCCAAAGTGCTAGGATTACAGGCATGAGCCACTGCGCCCAGCCTGAATATTAATTAATGAATATAATTCCTAAGAAAGATAAAATCCGGAACTTCATGCTCAGTGAAAAATTAGTCCTCATATTGCTGGAATTTCATAATCAAAAAAGAAAAAAGAAAAAGTAGTCCTCAAAAACACTTCCAATTTATCTTTCCAAAGTCTAAATATTCAGAATTCATCATGTCACTGAATTCCCACATTTAAAAAGGCACTTAACCAAGAATAAAACAGCGAACGGGCAAGCGGCAGCAAGCAGGTGATAATGAAACCAGCGTTTGGAAGCGCTGGGCTAGCTGGGGATTTCGATCTCATTATCACCCACCGCGCACGCAGGGGGCCCCTGCCACGGACACGGTGGTTCAACTTGGAGTTCTCGCCATGAACGGCAAGTTCTATTACAGAGGCTCTTTTATTCATTGCACAGCTGGCTTCTTCTTAAGTGAGGTAGGAGACAATTTAAAAGAAGATCTTAAAGCAAATGTTTAGGAGGAAAGTGTATTAACTGCAAACACCTGTGCCTTGTTCTGCCCCTCTTCCCCCAAAAGGAGAAAAACTTTATACAACACCTTTGTCATGGGGCTGGGGAAAAAGTTTAAAATGAAAAAAAGCCATGGGTCTTTCAATACTGCAATTGTAGTTACTGAGGATGAGGAAGGGTGCACTGAGGCTGAAGCCCTGCTTAATGGCTGTGTACATATGGGGCTCTTGCCATCCTCAGGGCTGGGCATCTAGCCAAAACCGGGAGATGCAGGGTGACAACCCAAACTGGCCTCACCTCGAACGCTGCCGAGATGACCTTTGCTTTCTTGCTAAGCACGGAGCCCACCGCGTTGAAGTTCTTATCCCGGATCTCAGCGTAGAGCTCCTCTGCAGAATTCAGCTGAAGCTTCTTTGCTTCTGTGGGAGATCCTTACCACCATCACCCTGTTTCTTCGGTGCAAACTTCTCTGGAGGTAATTTCGCGTAGCCTGAACAACGATGGAGGACGAGCACCTGTGTGCAGTTACTGAAGAACAAACCAAGTGCCCAGGCGCAAAACAGAATGTCCAACTCAGGAGAGGATGTAAGACTACAAATAACACATAGGGCTGAGGTTGTGATTGTTCGTGATCAAAGTACAGGGAAGTGACTCTTTAATATTGACTTCCTGGTTCTGACTGTCTTTGGGGCACACGCAGCAATGTCTGATTTCTAAACTATTCAGGGATTAGGTCACTTTTCTACTCAAAGAATTCACAAAGATCTCCCTATTATCTTTTAGTGTTTTTCTTTTCTTTTTTTTTTTTTGAGACAGAGTCTCACTCTGTTGCCTGGACTAGAGTGCCATGGCATCAGCCTCGCTCACAGCAACCTCAAACTCCTGGGCTCAAGCAATCCTTCTGCCTCAGCCTCCTGAGTAGCTGGGACTACAGGCATGCACCACCACGCCTGGGTAATTTTTTCTCTATATATTTTTAGTTGGCCAATTAATTTATTTCTATTTTTAGTAGAGACAGGGTCTCACTCTTGCTCAGGCTGGTTTCGAACTCCTGACCTTGAATGATCCGCCCGCCTCGGCCTCCAAGAGTGCTAGGATTATAGGTGTGAGCCACCACACTTGGCCGTGTTTTTCAAACTGTAGGTCATGTCCCATTAGTGGATCATGAAATCATGAAAGCAAAAAGAGTGCTAGGATTACAGGTGTGAGCCACCACACCTGGCCGTGTTTTTCAAACTGTAGGTCATGTCCCATTAGTGGATCATGAAATCATGAAAGCAAAAAGATACAGCAACAGTAACAAAAACTGCATAGAATAGAAAATACCAGAGCATATCTATATCACATGAAGGAAGGGAAGGTGGTGTTTTGGTTTTTCTTTTTTCTTTAATAAAATTTTTGTCTCAGTTTCACATGCACACACATACATGTGTACATATAATGGTCATGATATAAAATATTTCTTACTGTGGTTTGCAGTCCAAATATGTTTGAAAGCCACTCTAGAACAACGATCAGAAACTATGGCCTGAGGGCCAAATTCTTTCCACTTCCTATTTTTGTAAATAAAGTTTTATCAGCACATAGCCACATCCATTCTTTCTGTATTGTCTGTGACTTCTTTTCACATTCCAACGGCAGAGGTAGGAAGATTCCTCTGTATAATCTGCACCGTGTAACCAGCAGAAGCCTAAAATATTTACCATCTGGGTCTTTACAGAAAAGATGTCCACCCTGATCTAGAATAAGCTTCCCAATTCCTTAGCATGGTATCCAGTTCCTCTGCAAAGTAGCCTTAATCTAGTTCTTCCACGTCTGCTCCTGCCCAGCCAGTTTAGTCCCAGTTTCCCTGGAACACCACATGCCCCCGGGAACTGCTGGTGGCACATAAACTGACACAACTCTTCAGTAAAGCTGTTTGGCCGCATGTACCAAGCGCTTTATAATGTTAACACTTTTTTTTTATTTTTTTATTTTTTTTTTTTCTCCATGGAGTCAGGACAGGATGTTAACACTTTTTAACTTGAGAAATCCTGCATCAGAGAATCTAGAGAAAGAAAATAATCTGATCTGTGAAAAATTCTTATGTATACAAATGCTTTTATAATCATTAAATCTCTGGGAGGCTGGGGTGGGAGGATCACCTGAGCCCAGGAGTTCAAGGCTGCAGTGAGTTATGATGATGCCACTGCACTGTACCTGGGACAATAGAAAGAGACCTTGATTAAAAAAAAATATATATATATAGATCTTTAATTTCAAATAATGCTTAAGTATGCAAAATAAAATTGGTAGCTTTTAACTGGCTGAAGTCAAGAAAAGTTAAAAAAAATTTTAAAAAAAGTGGTAGCTTCCACATAAAGGATACTTTTATTATATTACCTATTAGTGAAAACAGACATACTTTACTTACTGTTCTGAATGCCATAAATTTCATCAATGAGTCCTTCGTACGTGAGCTGAGTGGCAAGAGGCGTTAACAAATCCACGTTTCGATCGAGCAACAAGAGATTATCGAAAACCGGAAATATTGAATTCTGGCTTCCCGTGAACTCTCTCTTCATCCTGATCATCATGTTGGCCACTTGCTGGAAACAAAACATTGCATCAGGTGGGACCCTCCTGGGAACTAGCAGATTTTAAAATTCAGCTAAAAACAGAAAGACAATCAAAAAAGTCAAAAAGGAGGAAAACTGGAAGAGTGAGATTGATAAGAAATAAGCAGCTCTAGAAAAGCACTTGCTGTTGGCCACCCATCGCAACACTTAGACTTAAGCCGACAGGCCATTTTAAATGGCAACATCACCAACAAAAATGTACAAAAGTGTGAAAAAATGTGACACTACATAGGACTGTAAAAAGGACACTTGTTTGCAGTTTGAGAGCTGAAACAAGAAGGCAGAGCATGGCCTTGTTCAACCTCAGCTGGGAGAACATGCCATGGGTAACTGACGCTTTTCATCCCTCGGTGCCTGCCCGAGAAAGCACCGTGACGTATGAATGCACTGCAATGAGCAGGCAAATTCACATGCACGGGTTTCATAAATAATGAGGGTCGACTGTATTTTCTCATGAAGAATTTCCCATTCTCCCCACTCTTGGGGTGTGACGGGGCCCCCTGTTTCACCACCAGAAAGCAGCTGGTTCTCACCCGAGCACATTCTCCTTTCCCAAAGATCTGCGGGATCGTTCCGTACAGAGCTTGCAGGGTCATCAGCCCCTTGGCTGCGTGGTACAGGCTCGTCTGGTCGCCCTCCAGGTAGCACTCCTGTGGGGGGAAAGGCGGTCACTGTCGGGCCACGGTCACCTCCAGGGGACCTGCCAGGTGCCTGCCTCTGTTCCTGGGCCTGGGATTCAGCAAGAGATAATAAAATCACTTCCATTTCTTTCATACTCTACTGGGGAAGCTGGGGGACTCGAGTCTGTCGCTCAAAGCTGCTGTCTGGCAGGCCAGACCACGAGGCTGGCAGCCCTGCAGCGGGTGCAGCTGTGGGAGCAGCTCTCCTGGGCAGAGCTGGGGCTTCTGGAAGCAAACTGTTCACCTGGCACGCAAAGTGCTAGGACTACAGATTCATGCCACTCCGCCTGGCTAATTTAAAAAAAATTTTTTCTTCTGACAACATGTGACATAGAAAGAGGCATTATGGCCAGGCGTGATGGCTCACGCCTGTAATCCTAGCATTCTGGGAGGACGAGGCGGGCGGATTGCTCAAGGTCAGGAGTTCCAAACCAGCCTGAGAAAGAACTAAATATAGAAAGAAATTAATTGGCCAACTTAAAAAATATATAGAAAAAATTAGCCAGGCATGTTGGTGCATGTCTGCAGTCCCAGCTACTCGGGAGGCTAAGGCAGAAGGATTGCTTAAGCCAGGAGTTTGCGGTTGCTGTGAGCAAGGCTGATGCCACGGCACTCTAGCCGGGGTGACAAAGTGAGACTCTGTCTTAAAAAAAAGAAAGAGGAATTACTATGTTGCCTAGGCTGGTCTTTGGAACTCCTGGGCTCAAGCAATCCTCCAGCCTCAGCCTCCCAAAGGGCTGAGATTAACTACTTTTCATGGGAAATGTCTATATGATAAAAAAAAAAATTACAAAGTTAAAAGACAAGCCACCGACTGAGAGAAGACACTTTGAATCTTTAATTTTCTTTTCTTTAAGACCAGGAGTCTCAGCGTCTCACATTCTCCCTCTGTTGTCCAGGCTGGAATGCAGTGGCATTCGTAGTTGAATCATAGCACCCTGCAGCCTCAAACTCCTGGACTCAAGCAATCCTTCCACCTCAGCCTCCTAGGTAGCTGAGGCTACAGGCATGAGCCACCACATGACTGTTGCAGCTTTTATAACCCATAATGATTAGTATCTTGAATATATAAAGAATTCCTCAAAAAGAAAAAATGGGCAAAGAAAATGAACAGGCAATTTGCCAAACAGAAAATATTAAACATTAATAAACACATGAAATGGCCTCAGCTTCCATGATCTTGTAATGCAAATTATAGCAATATCATGACACTTCCACACTCATAAATTTGGCAAAAATTAAAGTCTGATGTTCAGGAAATGCCAAACTTACTTTGAACGCACCCTCTGATTCCATGGATAAGAGATCTCCATCGAATGGAATGAGATCTAAGCTGTACTCCTCCCTATGAATAAAGGATCCCAAAACACCCAGATCCTTTAACCGCTGTTCGCACAGCAAGCTACGTCGTGGCACAAACAAAATGTGGAAATCTCTCACTGGGCCACGTCTGTCTTCACTGCAAAAGAAGGAACATGTGTTAGCTTATGAGCTCCTAAGAGTCAAAGACCATTTTGCTTATTTTGTCCCCACTGCCTGGCACTAAATAAATGCTAGCTAGATAAACATACAAATACTGACTCTCAGACTCAAATCGTTACAGTCGATGACTCTCTTTTTTCTTCCTCAAGACAAGAAAGCAGCACTGAGTCATAGCCAGTACTTTGTGGTGTAGCTTCTAGCATTCTCTTAAACCACTTATGGGGCATTAAAGCTCTCAGATTTATTGAAATAGGATAGCTGTGTCTTACTGAAGACAAATGGTTCTTTAACCAAAGCGATGCAGCCACAGCGTCTTATAATAAACTGAAGGATCACTCTTGACTCCCACCTCTCTCTCCTTGACAGGGGACTTCCAAAAATAGCCCCTATGCTTTTAAGATGCTAGTGGCTGCATCAATCAATTGTGCCAGAGCGCAAGCTTCCTCTATAGATTGGATACTACATTAAATTGTCATCAGCTCTTACTTTTTTGCTTGTGAAATTCAAACATACTACATTCAGTATACTGAAAAATAACCATGAGAGGTTTCTTTATTTTTTAACCAGGGTTCTTTTTACTGATACAGGTTCAAACTTTCAGCTATCCTGAAAGAATGGAGTTATATATATGATGATCCTCCTCTTAAACTGTTTAGAGCAACATCACAAATTTCTCATTCCTCATTTTACATTCTCCCATGCCTGTCCCAGTTTTCCAAAAGTCCACCTTTCAATGCACTGGCAAGAGTGGGGATTTGCAATGAGAAGGAGCTCAGTACATTAAAACCATTATTAGGATCAACTTCTTTTAGCGTAAACATAAGCTCTGAGATACCTGAGCACATTTTCAGCAATTATATCCATCAATTCTAGCCTGGGTCTGACAAAGAAAATAATATTCTTGACATCAGCTGCTGGCAAACGATTTCCCTTAAGTGTGAACATTTTTTCCACTTCATGTTCCTAGGAAAACACGTACATGAAAAGTTAATGAAAAGGCTGAAACTTACCTATCATTTCCAGACTCAGAAATCACAAACACCCCCAATCGAGTACACATTAATACTTTATTATCAAAATTTAGATCCCCCAAAGCCAAATGTATAAAGGACAAAGTTTTAAGATAAAGCCACCGTTATTGCATCAGCATTCAAATGACTCTCACAGGATGAACTATCAAAGATGTCAGGTGATGGTCACATCACATAATGCTAGGATCAGCATAGAATCACCCACCAAACCACCATTATATACAAAATGTCAATCACGCCCTAGTATCTGTGTTTAAGAGACCAAATAGCTTTGGAAGCCAATTACTCAGGAGGAAATGTAAAATCTATTATCACTGCTAAAGTAAATCCCCTAAACACCCCCCAAATTAGTTCATTTACCTTCAGTAGGGAATACTGTGCAATCAGGCCAAATGGTCCTGTCAGGTACTCTGTCCCAAACTATAGCCTACAAGAGGGAGAGAAATATTCTCTAATTACAGTTATTTTCAGGACTTTCAAGAGTATCAATAGAAAATAGCAGTCATACACAGTACGAATTATTTGCCTTCAAACTAAGAGGTTACAAAAATTTTTAATTGGCTCTGACCACGTTTATTCATTGCACTCTAAAATAACGTCGGGGCAAGTGATGCTGTTGGTCACAGGAAAGGTAAGAGTTAATTACTGTCCCTCGACAGAAAGAGGAACTATAGTTTTGTGTGTATTCTTGTCATGGTATTTAATTATTGGAGTAAACCATATGGAATTGCTAATTATACAAAGTTAAAACTTATGCTATAGGTATTATAAATCTTACTTGACACACATGAAAATTTTCAAAAAGCTTATATGGGAGCTTGGACCTTTACATAAATTATAGCCTTAAGAGAGTCAGGACTCCAACTCAATACTTTTGGACATCACAAGTCATTACTCTGGGCCACTATGAGTATCTCTCTCTCCTCTCTCTTTTTTTTTTTTTTTTTTTGAGAAAGAGTCTCGCTGTTGCTCAGGCTAGAGTGCCGTGGCATCAGCCTGGCTCACAGCAACTTCAAACTCCTGGATTCAAGCGATCCTTCTGCCTCAGCCTCCCGAGTAGCTGGGACTACAGGCATGTGCCACCATGCCCGGCTACATTTTTCCATATATTTTTAGTTGGTCCAGCTAATTTCTTTCTATTTTTAGTAAAGGTGGGGGTCTTGTCTCTTGCTCAGGCTAGTCTCAAACTCCTATCTCAAACAATCCTCCTGCCTCGGCCTCCCATAGTGCTAGGATTACAGGCATGAGCCATGACGCCCAGCTCCCTATGAGTATTTCTACTACTAAACTCCAGCATCGTTTTTTTTAATTGACATTTTAATTTAAATAATTGTAGGTTAACATTCAGTTGTGAGAAATAACAGTGATCCTGTGTACACTTTGTCTAGTTTGCTCCTATCTCTCCCC